ACACAAATGTTGATATTCGCACCGTCAAATGTCACTGCCTGGGTCCAGGCGATCACCTGAGCCACACCGTGACACTTCGAACTTGAACATGACTTGACGTGGTCCATGAGGCCAACTATAACCATGTAGAAAAATACAAGGGCTATAGCGAACACAGCAGGATGACCCTTAAAATAATGCAATGCAGCAACATTGCATGCAAAACACGCCATCTTGCGAAAGGGGTCAAGTAAGGCGTGCAGGCAGAAACGACGGAAACGGTAATATCTTCTCGCGGTAACACAAAGGTGCCTGACTGTCGGCGTTCGAGACCCTCGCTTGCTCCACACTTCGTGAGAGGGAATAATTACTTTTCTCGCGAGACAAAAACGGTCCCGCAAGCACCTACTGGTATGACGCGACGCTTAAGTCCAGGCACGCTGACTGCCTAAGTCTCGACCACTGCTTAACTTCATCATTCCAGCCAGCTGCGAATGCTGTGACTATTGATGAGGGTAATACCATCTCGTAACGCACACCCTTGAGCCAAACATCGTCATCAGTGCCTATCAACGATCTCCTTTCGTTTTCCGATCGATGGGGGCCCATGCTTCATGCATGTCCCTGAAAGTCCACTAGTGAGCCTTTTCGTCTCTCTTTTGCGATAAAGCAAGTTACCCACCCCCCTAACAGACCCGTGCCACAAGCGTTCTTAGTGCCTCTTGATTTGGAATTCCAAACTTCTACTACCCAGTCAGTAGCAGACTGATAAACCGTCTTTGATATCATCCAGCAGTCCTGCATGATCCGGAAGATCCCGTTAGAGATGCCATGCGATGCAAAAACTCCCAAACCACTCACTCACCTTGGAAACGCATCCGCCTGATTGGAGCAAGAACACCCGAAAAACACTTCATGGTACGGTATGTACTGGCACTATTGCCTCTTGGAGGTAAATAAGAATCATACGACTATAGAATCATCACTGTGTCGGCGAAAAGTTTATGGTCAATGAAACTCCGGTGACCAATGGTTGTCGAACACTCACACCCATACGTGACTCATACGTGAAGCCAGCGAGCAGTCCAATTGCCAATTCTTCGTTAACGTCGTCAAACTTCAACCATGGATTAGTATCTTGTGAGTACATTCAAAATAGGTATTCAGTTCAAGGGTAGTTTACACTTCAGGACGGATGCCAGCACATGCGCCCGCGCTCCTCGCTGCTCACAACGTCGATTCTATCAGAAGTCGACGTCAAATTGTAACGGGATACACTCTGTGGCGAATCCTGGCTGCGAGCATAGTGTCGACTAGCTAGTGCTGAGATTGACTCTCCTTGCTCAGATCCGATTCCGCTTGCGATGCAAAGGGGAAATCGGCTCCAAGCTCAAGCACTCAAGTCGGGAATCAATGTTTGCCCCGAGTCAGACCAAACCATCGAGATTTAATAACAACACTCCGCCAGCCCGAAATTAAATCACTGCGTTTGCACGTAATTTTCTAGAAGTAACAACGCAAGTCCTGGTCAATTGAAGTGAGTTTGTTTTTGCTAGGCAATGTTTATGAACGTGCTGAATCAATGTTTTGGAGCCCGGCGTCTAAGGACTTGTTCTAGAATCCGATGACTAGGATGTCGCAATAGTGGATCAATCAATCATGCTTCGTACGACACGGATGTGAATGACCGCTCTAATGACATCAAATGCAAATTGCGTATTTCCTATTGGTGTGCCACCTTTCGGCGTCTTGGGTCTACTATTTATGATGATTCAGAAATGCTTATTGGCGACTGAATTCGGCACCATCCGTTGACGTCTAATGTCTACCTGTTGAATGTTTGATACAGTATACCAAATAAGGGACCGTTATCATGTATGTGCACACAACATGTGATGGTAGCGCGGGTCTGTCACGGCCTTAGAAACCTCGCAGAAGGCTGCTATCTTCATTGCAGCCATTGAAACTCTTTTGCTCCTTGTTTTTAGTAGAGACTTTAGAGTGAATGACTGCGCAGCCCCCGCTAGAGTTACCCATCTAGGCGTGACCGACAGTTTGGCCCTCCCATCTCACCCCTCTCCCACCTGTCAATGTCTGTGCCAGCTACTTATGTCCTTCTCTCCCCTCTGAGGTAATAAAACTCCGACAACGTTGAGCCGAACAAGCTTTGCACGGGGGCCGCCGGTACCTAGACGTCTCATTGGCTGACTATGGTGTTGTTCCGGGGGCATTGATCAATGCATATCCTAGTATTGATGCTTTTGGTTCGAGTTATCATGATAGAGTCAGATGGACACCAATATCATGGCTAGGGTTCATTAAACTAATCAATTTTCATTGGCTGACTGTCATGGTGGTGTTTTTGTTCCGGAAGCATTACAAACTAGCATTGATGCTTTTAGTTTGACTTATCATGATACACCAATATCATAGCTAGGTTTCGAGCGGTCGCCGTCGCAATCCGGATTCTAGATACTATAAAACCATGATACCCCATACAACGATTCCCGATCTCCATCCGACATCGACTGCACTCGTCCACGTATTGATACGCCATCATTTGTAGTCAAGTTTCCGACTAAACCCTCAGATCAGCATTCACCACTATGGTATCATTAATATTTGAAGCACAAACAGCGGTCGTGTACGATGTCATTGGCCTTGGATTTGGCCCGGCAAATCTTGCTGCTGCTGGTGCGCTACTAGAACAACCAAGAGAGGTACGTCAATCCGATGTACCAGTACCATATCTGGAACTCATCGGCATCCCAGACCTGCCCGATATCCGTAAACAAATCTCTCTTCATTGAGCGACATCATGAATTCAGATGGCATCCGGGTATGCTTCTCCCAGGTACCCGTATGCAGATCAGGCAAGTACAATTTCATGTCGATCGCATCTTGGAACTGAGGGAGAAACACAAGTTTCCTGAAAGATTTGGCGACCTTGAGATCGCCACAATCTCCTATCACCTTCGTTGCATACTTGCACTCCCAGAACCGTCTGGTGGAGTTCATCAACAGGAATTGCATGACCCCGACGCGGAAGGAATACTCCGATTACCTTGCCCATGTCGCGCGGTACGTGCAAGGTCAAGGCATCAAGGTCGCGTATGGCGAAAACGTCATTGCAATCGAAGAAGGGGGTGAAGGCACCGTGCTGGTCCATAGCATCGTGCTTACCACTGGAGAAACCATCATTCGTCGTGCAAGTCAGCATCAATTCATTGCAATGTTGCCATGCAGGAATTGACTGAGGATTGTTCAGAAAATCTAATCATCTCGCCAGGAGGCTCACCACGGGTCCCGCGGTGTATTCAGAGCATCTCACCTCATCCTCGCATCATTCACAGCTCTGCGTACCTGTCTTCTGTAGAACCGATGTTGGACACAATGAAGACCATCACTCGGCCACTTAAAATCGCGGTCGTCGGTGCTGGGCAGTCTGCAGTGGAAGTACTGCTCGACCTTCAGTCGCGGCTAACTAGCATGGGCAATAGTACCGGCCAAGCACACGACCTCCACCTCATCATTCGTGGTGGCTCATTGAAATCGAGCGATGGTGGCCCCTTTTCGAACCAGGTATACAATCCAGAATTTGTGGATGTTATGTATGACCTGCCAAGTGATTCTCGAAGAAGAGTGATGGCGGACTACGAGGGCACAAATTACGGGGTAGTAAATCCGATTACGCTTGACTCAGTGAGTTGCATGTCTTTTGCTAATTTATTGCGATTCAAGGATGCGACAATAGCTCTTCAACGTCATGTACGACCAACGTGTAGACAGTGACATCGCTAGACGCAAGAAAAACGCACTGGCCGCGACCGATGCACATATCACCATCGTAACTTATAGTAACCTGGCGTCAGCGGAGATTAGCACACATCCTTCGCAAACCTCCACAGAAACAGAAACAGATACACATACATTCTCGGTTCTTCTGCAGAATACCCTCACACAAGTTTTCTCTGAGGCGACATATGACGCCATTGTCTGCGCTACTGGCTACGAGCGAAACTCGTGGCTGAACCTCTTGAAATCATCCGGCTTAGGCAAGCATTTCGGTCTGTGCGCTACTTCAGATAACACGCGCCTCTCTGTGGAGCGCGACTTTAGAGCGACCATAAACGGGAAGAATGGCGCGTTTAAAGCGGCCACGAACGGAATAAACGGTCATTCACGGGCATCGGTCACGGGCATCAACGGAGAGAAGATACATACACAACATACATCTACGGAGACCAAAGATTCTGGTACGCTATCTACAGAATGAGTAACTGAACATTTTTCTCACCAGTATGACAGATACAATCTATATCTCGCGAAGTCATAGACTTCTTCCACTACAGACAGCTAGTCATGAATCGATTCCAAAGATCTACTTGCAAGGTTGTGCAGAGGAAACGCATGGAATAACAGAGACGCTATTGAGTGTGGTGGGGATTAGGGCTGGAGAGGTGGTGGAAGACTTGTGTTCAAATTATTAGAGAATTTGAAGACCTGCGATTTGCAGGATACAGGTTTGGGTTTTTATAATAACAGTTGCTTTGGGATAAGACATTTATGATTGGTGGCCGGAACCCCTGATGCAGTATGTGTTGAATGTTACTGTAGCGATACTTCGAGTCGTTCAAGTTGCTGCACGGCCCGTGTTAGAATTCTTGTACTATATACCAATTGTATGTACTAGTAGTAGATTATCGATCGTCCAACAGAACCACGCGACACGTGCATGGCCATCTGATGGTCGCTGCTGCAAGGACTCGTCATAAAATTATGTCTTGCGCATCGAGTGGATGTGGATATCGTGTGGACACAAGTGATGGAATATTGGAGTCCATCATTGACATGACGCGATATGGCAGCCCTCATCTAGTGTGTTCATCAACATGGCGACTTAAAATACGAGTTTTTAAAGATCGATAGCCTTGATAATGCCTGATACTTTTTCTCCAATTGCATGTATAACTTCAGGGGCACGCCGCTTTTGGAAATGGCTACTTCATACTTTTCTACATTGGCTCGCACGCAACCCCACATAGAAATTCTAGCTTTTGCTCCCATGAGACTGTCTTATCCTTGTTTATCTGAAGCTAATCACAATGACCTTGCACTTGCACTCAGGATAGCCCGGCACTCTTCCTGTACCGCCTGTGATTCTTGTCCTGGTTTGCGACCCCCAGCAAGCGTCGAGGTGGTTCTAGATGATGATATCCACCAAAAGTCTCTACTTGGCGACCTGACACAATACGGCTCAGACGAAGAGGATGGCCCCGCATACCTCGAAACATGTATATGTGGCCACGATGTAGCAGATCACGGTAGTCAATTAGCAGCCTTGGGACGGGAGGAATTTTCTCGTAGAGCGCGTCTTGCAATTCGTATTGATGAACTTCTTCAAGTACGTCTTCTCTCACGTCATTATATGCACGCTGAGTCACAGCACGCGCACTGTGTCAGGAAGCAGACAGGCAACTTGATTTCAATTATACAGATGAAGACATCGACTCCCTCAGGCAACAAATGAAGACGTCCATCTCTATGGTTAGCGTAACGTCTCCTTCCATCCGTACGTCATTTACATCTATCCTCCCTGCGACCTCCTCAAAATTTTCAGCACAATCTTCCCCAGTTGATCGACCAATGTCCCCGGATTCTTCCGTACTCAGTGACGAGCCTCCACCTTCAAAACGTAGACGACTGTCCTCCTCTTCACTCAGCGATGAAGATGACGATGATGATGACGACGATAAGCCTTTAGCCGCCCAAGTTGCAGATTCAAATGCAGCGGCCACAGGAACGACCTCTAGAAAGACTGTGACGCACAGAAGTGGGAAGAAGACCTCCAGTATGAAGTCAAAAGCGCAGACCGCTCCCATGGGAGACAAAAGGCCAGAGAAGAATGGCGTTGCAAATGGTCGCAGCTCGGATCTTAAAGTAAAGGTCGAAGATAAGATGGACGAGGGTCAACTCACACGCCTTGCGACTGGAGTTACGGTAGACACGGGGCCAGCATCATCTGCTGTAGTAAGTTTTATTACTATTTCTCGCTTAACTGACGCTTATCCTGTCAAGCCTACTCACAAGCCCGAAAAAGCTGCTTTCGTGGAGCTGCGCAAGGGAGTTATTGAGATAACTGCAGTGGAGAACGACCGACAGCCGCGCTCTACAGTGATTCTCACTGGTCTAAAGACCTTGTTCCAAACACAGTTGCCTATGATGCCGCGCGAGTACATTGCGCGTCTAGTCTATGACCACAACTCGAAATCACTCGCGATCATCAAACGTGGTTATAAGGTCGTAGGTGGTATTTGCTATAGGCCTTTTCCACACCGTGGCTTTGCGGAGATCGTCTTCTTTGCTACTGCATCCGTGGACCAAGTGAAGGTAGGCAATGGCCTCGTCCATCATGTATACGACTGCAGCTTCTATGACAGGGATACGGTGGCATGCTCATGGACAACTTCAAACAACACATCAAACGTACATACCCCGATGTGATGCACTTCCTCACCTACGCCGACAATTTTGCAGTAGTATTCTTCAAGAAGCAAGGGTTTTCGAAAGAGATCACACTTGATCGCTCCGTGTGGGCAGGGTACATCAAGGACTACGAAGGCGGGACGATCATGCAATGCACCATGTTGCGCAAGGTCAACTATCTTGATAAAGTCAACATCATCTCTCAGCAACGAGAGGCAATCCTCACCAAGATCCGCGAGATGTCGAAGTCGCACATCGTATATCAGGGTCTTTCACAATTCCAAGAAGGTGGTCTGGAAGGAATCACAGTGGATCCTAAGGAGGTTCCAGGGCTAAGTACGTCATCGTTTTTTTAAGTGAGTTGGCACCTCCAATTTGTTGTAGGAGAGAGCGGTTGGACGCCCGGCATGGAACACAGGTGGGTTGCCTTTTGCGGTCTGAGTGGGTTGTATGTAATTTCTTGCAGCACGCGTTCCGGGAAAAGTGCCGAGCACACACAAATGCAGCGGTTCCTGTCCGATCTTAAAGCCCATCCCCTAGCCTGGGCTTTCTTAAACCCAGTCAACGCCGATGAGGTCCCAGATTACTACGGTGTCATCAAGAGACCTATGGGTCTGTATCAAATCCTCTGTCATATATTTTGCATTGACATCTCCATCAGATTTCAGCACGATGGAACACAAATTGGACACGAATCAGTACTCCTCACTGAAATTCTTTCTTGACGATGTTCAACTAGTGGTCGATAATTGCAAGCTGTACAACCCCGAAACATCGATATACCATAGGAACGCAGTGAAGCTTGAGAAATTCATGAAAGAGCAATGTCCAGAATATGCAAAGCGAGGGTCCTGAGGACAGTTGTCTTGTTATACTATCTTTATTAATTCGCATCTGTATTATTTACTATAAGGATCACCATATGTGTATCGTATACGTTTCTTTCCGCTCGCCAATCATTGAAGTATAACAAGGCTGCACTGTACCAGCGCAGAAAGCCTACCCGAAACCACCCCGAGAGAACCGGATGTGATACGGCAACAGGATAACGACATCAAGAATCGGCATACGCTTCGTATTATACTATGGTTGACCTTGCGAAGTCAAGAACAGTCAAACATTGGAACAATCAGACCATAAGGAGCTAATGGCAATTCGGAATCGCCCTGGACGTGCTCGTCACCAAAGTTTAGAAACGATGTTTGTTCAGCAGACGCGAATAGATAAATTCATCCGCCAGATCGACATGAACCGTTATTAAAAAACATGGGCGTTGTGAAGTACTGATGCTTGATAAGCCCATTCCGTGATGCTGATTCATTGCCAACATCTGACAAGGGCCTTGAACGTCCAACTGTATAGGCTTAAGAATTTAAATTTAATCAAGTACGATTCAAATATCGGATCGAAAACTGAGGAAAAGGATCCTACTCATGGAACAACTTTGTATCGGTAATTAAACGCGGGGATAGTGCTGAGCGACTTCAAGATCAAAGTCAAGTTCCATCAAATCAACAAACTCACGATGCAACACCATTTGCAATCGCTGGAGTGATTTCGATAGGTCGAAATTTCGCGTCTTTGGCTTTCAAGAAGCGCATTGTCGCTGAGATCTACAAGGAAGCTGCCATAACAAACTCTCTGCAAGAAACCTTCTTCCAAACTAGAGGAAAGGGCTCCCTGCAATCCTCGCGGTCGGCGAGAGCTCGCCGTTGCGAAGCAGGTACCGTCCTGGTTCAAACTAGCCAGCGTTAACACAGTCACATGAACTTGCCCCTCGGAAATAAATGAGAAATGATAATGGAGCCTTTCTTTAATGTACGGCCAAGTATCCTGGTCTGCGAAAGCGGGTAGCACATCACTGCGTATGCCTCAGTCGATTTCAGCTCGCGCTAACGTTAACTTGGAAAAGAAAGATGTCGAAAAAACCTCAAACGACATCCTGTCGTGAAATGTAGCCCTGGTGGCTCGGCAGTCACTGAACACCGAATGTCAAGTTCGGAGGGTTCAATCTGATTCAGCGATGCGCGAAACTGCGGCAACGACTCAGAAATCTGACAACTTAAGTGGATAATCCAGTGACTCACCAAGCTTCGCCGCAGTCATATTGCGTCAAAGTTTATAGCTTCTTTGTTTTGACGATCATGATTGAATATTGAAGTGACTCAGTCGCTGTTTGCCGAAAGTCATCGTCCTGTCAGTTGGTTGTGAACTAGGGTTCGACTCTATGCCTTCGACGCGCAGTTTATTGGAGGGACGGAGCAAGTTGGATTGCATACGGACTAGGTACAAATGCGACAGTGATTTGAATTAACGAAAGAAAGGGAAGCTGATTGGGTAAAAAGCCCGCAGGGCTTTTCGGCCGAGTGTCTACGCAAGGACCTAAGGTTTCGAGTGAGCTATGATGGGCGGACGGGTACCGATCAAGTCGCCCTACGTGTAGCTTGAAAACTTAGGAAGCAAACGTAGTGCATTGGACGAAATGGTTGGTGAGGCGAGGCAAAGGACGAGGCAAGTATTTCGTCCATATCCTGAGAGAGGGAGTGGAGGGTGGGGGTAAAGAAAGGCAGCGGGGTATAGTAGATGATAAGAGAACTCTAATAATGAGAGACTGTAGCTCGACTATCGATGTGAGTCGGAGCAAGGTGCGTTGCGCCACTTTGCTTACTCAAGTGTAGACTCATTTCTGCGCTAGCCGAGGCACGAGGCTAGCGCAGAAAACCAGTTGCCGAGTTTGACCTTGCAGGCCTGCATCGGGGGTCGAGTTCGCTATGCCGGAACCATTTTCAACGTCAATTGTTTTTTGTATACCCCACTTTTCTTCTACCGCTGCTGCTCGGTCTCTCAGTTTCCCACAGGAGGACTTGCTTTTCCACGCACGATTTGGTAGAGAACGGCACGTTTGTTGCAGACAAAACCCTCCTCCATAGTGTGGATGGCGGATATCACGAAATGATGGAAACGTGCTGGGTTGCCGTGACGAACGAACGTGAACTAACAACAGAGGACACAGGAGCCAAATACCTCGCGCGCGTTCTTGAAGAGATACGTTTGCTAAGTAAAATCTGGGACGCGATAATGATCGCAACGTTGGCACCCAACTGGCGGGTGGTTTCATTTCGTGACGCGCAGTTGCCTTTTCGAGAATCGAGTGGAGTCACCCGTCATTATATAAGGTAAGACAACATCCTATGCATTGCGTCGAAACCCCCTCTGTGTTTTAATGTTATACTTTTTCAAGCTTCAATAATGGTCAAATTCTACGGATATATTGTGGCAGAGGAGTGGTTACTCCAGCGAGGCATTGAGATGGGTCATCCGCCCCCCAAGACGTACAGCGACTTGACGGATATCATTGTCATGGCTGCGGGAGATGTTAGGTTAGAGACAGGCGTTTACCGTTACACCAAACTTCGTGACGTGCAGAATCACAAGGGGAAAACCTTTTGGTGCATCGCCTTCGCCTCTTCCGACCCTCGAGAGGGCTTACCAACCAGCGCGCCCCCCGAGTCAAAATCCAACGCTTTGAAGGAGGCGCTGCAGAAGACTGGCCCGCCTCGCTGGTTCCGAGGTGCTTGAAACGAACGTTAGTGACCTATGCAGATCATCGATGGAAGCGCTGGTACTTATTTCACCTGTCAAAACCATATAGTTGTTTCATTGCATTGGCTGCCACACCCATTCATGCCCTCAAATCCCGAGTTGTCGGGCTGTGGTAGCCTACTTTCTTGCCGCTATTCATGTGTTGGTCTGAGGAAGGAAGATCCCAGGACGGCGAGGATCGTCTATTACCAGTAGTTCCCCCCTCCCCCTCTTTTTTGTTGCACAGAGTAGTCCTTTGGTATGTCGGATACATCTCGTTATCGTGTCAATCAATTAAATTGATGATCATGAGTACTTGAGTGACGGATTCTTACTCTAGGATACCGATAGTTAATGTACAGCTGAACTATTGTATTAAAGGGGATTTTCAACCGGAGATGACTGCGGGGTCAAACTTCAGCGTTGACACAGTCGCACGAACATGCCTCTCGGAAATAAATGAGAAATGATAATGGAGCCTTTCTTTAATGTACGACCAAGTATCCTGGTCTGCGAAAGCGGGTAGCACATCACTGCGTATGCCTCAGTCGAGTTCAGCTCGCGTCTTCCCTTGGACTTCCAGAAAGAGTATTATGACGATCAATGTCGAGTGTTGCCGGGGAACGACAACTTGGACCTTGATGTCAGTTGGTTTGGGACCGACAAAGTCACAGAAATGATCCGGAAGTAGTAGTTCAAGCATGACATTTTTGAGGTCGAAACACATCGAAACTTTGAGAGCACTACTACACATATATCCATTGGTGTCAACGTTAGCTTGGAAAAGAGAGATGTCGAAAAAACCTCAAACGACATCCTATCGTGAAATGTAGCCATGGTGGCTCGACAGTCACTGAATACTACCGAATATTAAGTTTGGAGGGTTCAATCTGATTTAGCGACGCGCGAAACTGCGGCAACGACTCAGAACTTTGACAACTTGGGTGAATAATCCAGTGACTCACCAAGCCTCGCCGCAGTCATATTGCGTGGAAGTTCGTAGCTTCTTTGTTTTGACGGGAGAACACTTGGCTCATTCAGATTGAAGTGACTCAGTCGCTCTTTGCCGAAAGTCATCGACGCGGGATCCAAAATTTTGCTTGCGAAGGGGTTACAAGATTGTAGTACGATATAACGATGAGTCCGTGAATCGAATTGATCGTTACATCCATCGATCTACATACACTGTTCAGCTGTTTTTCGCGAGCACTAGTCCATGATCTACCTTTCTTGGTGACACACATACCCACAGTGTTTGGTTTTGATATCCGAGTCATAATCCGAAACTCGAGTCACACTTTAGATCAAGATATCACTTCAAAAGAATCGCCTTGATCGCGACAGGGCTACTCATACAGACCACACTATTGCTGAAGTAGAGATACTAGGATGTCATTCCCAAAACAAGACAGTGCGTAGCTGGGTGACTACGCCCATGCATTATGGTGCTTATCAGTGTCTTTCGGACTAGTAACCCAACCATTCAACTTTCCAAAGGAGGAGGAGAAAGTCATCGCTTACTGGCGCGAGATAGATGCTTTCCAGACAAGTTTGAAGCTATCAGAAGGCAAGCCAGAATATGTCTTCTTCGACGGTCCTCCTTTCGCGACTGGTCTGCCTCACTATGGTCATCTTCTCGCGGGTACCATCAAGGTATGTGATTCTAGTAATATCTGATCTTTATCGTTGGCCGATCTGTTAATGCTCGCTTCCTTGATCTAGGACATAGTCACTCGACATGCCCACGTAACAGGCCATCATGTCACGCGTCGATTTGGATGGGACACTCATGGTCTCCCCGTCGAGCATGAGATCGATAAGAAACTTGGGATTACTGGCAAGAATGACGTGATGGCTATGGGAATCGAAAAATACAATGCAGAATGTCGTGCCATCGTCATGCGTTACGCGTCAGATTGGCGCGTCACCGTCGAGCGCATGGGTCGATGGATTGACTTTGACAACGACTACAAAACACTAAATACGCCTTTCATGGAAAGCGAGTGGTGGGCGTTCTCGGAGCTCTGGAAAAAGGGCATGGTGTACCGTGGCCAGCGTGTCATGCCGTATTCTACAGGATGTACCACCCCACTTTCGAACTTCGAAGCAGGGCTAGACTACAAGGATGTAAACGATCCTGCAGTCACAATCGCATTCCCGCTAGTTGAAGATCCTAGCACATCGCTTCTAGCCTGGACGACTACCCCATGGACCCTCCCATCTAATCTAGCAGTGTGCGTTCATCCCGAGCTCACTTACATCAAGATTCACGATGAAGAACACAACACAAATTACATACTTTGTGATCAACTTCTTGGGACTCTCTACAAAGATCCAAAGAAAGCAAAGTTCAAGAAACTAGCATCTTACAAGGGTATCGAGATGAAGGGATGGAGATATGTGCCGCTCTTCGAGTATTTCACAGAACAGGTATGTGAATTACCTTCTTTTTCGTGCAGTTTCCGACCATCCTTCAGTATGAAGATCGCGCATTTCGCGTGCTTGTGGATACATATGTTACCGCGACGGACGGTACAGGTATCGTACAGCAAGCCCCGGCATTTGGTGAAGATGACGCTCGCGTTGCTATCGAAAATGGTATCCTTTCTACCGGAGAGATGGCTCCATGTCCCTTAGACGACGCTGGCAAATTCACAAAGCCAGTCACCGATTTCGAGGGCATGTACATCAAAGTTTGTGATTATTCATCGATCGAACTATCTAGCGGTGCTCACCGTTGGTTTCAAGGCTGCAGATAAAGAAGTCATGAAGGTCTTGAAGGCGAAAGGTCGTCTCATTGTGCAATCGACCATCAAGCATTCCTATCCGTTCTGCTGGCGGTAAGGCCCTTTGACAGGACATTGATCGGTACGCTGACTCCTTCCCCAGATCAGGAACACCTTTAATCTATCGTGCTGTGCCGTCGTGGTTCATCCGTGTACAACCTATCGTAGACCAGCTTGTTACCAACAACTTGAACACACTATGGTGAGCGCACCGTCGGTTTCCCTGCAAATGTTGATCCAATTCTGTTTATCAGGGTGCCCCAAAATGTCAAGGATGGTCGATTTGGAAACTGGCTAGCAAATGCGCGTGACTGGAATGTATCTAGAAACCGGTACTGGGGTACACCACTACCTCTGTGGGTTAGCGATGACTATGAAGAGGTTAGTGTCAGGATTTTTCAACATGGGTGTGAATTGATAAGAGGACAGGTTGTCTGCATCGGCTCCATCGCCGAACTCGAGGAGCTGACTGGTGTTGTTGGCCTCACAGACATTCATCGCGAAAAAATAGATCATTTGACTATTCCTTCGAAGATGGGCAAGGGCGTCTTGAGACGCGTGGAGGAAGTCTTTGACTGCTGGTTTGAATCTGGAAGGTAACTCGGCTCCCCGATCCTGCAAACCACACTAACAATGGGACCATTCCAGTATGCCATTTGCATCATCACACTACCCATTCGAAAATAAAGAGTCTTTCCTCAAGAACTTCCCGGGTGACTTCGTGTCAGAGGGTATTGATCAGACTCGGGGTTGGTTCTACACGTTGCTCATTCTCTCAACTCATCTCTTCGGCACTGCACCGTGGAAGAATTTAATTGTCACCGGTCTCGTGCTCGCTGCCGATGGCAAGAAGATGAGCAAAAGTCTTAGAAATTATCCCGACCCTCATATCATCTTTGACCAATATGGTGCGGACGCTACGAGGTCAGTGTCAATTCAGTAAGATATGCTACTTTAAAGCTTACTTCGTCCCAGGATGTTTCTGGTCAACTCTCCCATTGTACGGGGTGAAAACCTGCGCTTCCGTGAGGAAGGTGTTCGGGATGTTATCTCTCGTGTTCTTCTTCCCTGGTTGAACTCCGTCCGATTCTTCATTGGTCAAGTGACGCTTCTTAACAAGACCACTGGCGTGCAGTTCATGTACAACCCACATGCGCCCGTCTCGAACAACGTCATGGATCGATGGATACTTGCTCGGTGTCAATCTCTTATCAAGCTCGTGAAGGATGAGATGAAGGCTTACAGGCTCTACACTATCTTGCCGCGACTCCTTGATCTCATCGACGAACTAACGAACTGGTATATTCGGTTCAATCGGCGAAGATTGAAGGGCGAGGATGGTAAAGAGGATACGATTGCCGCCCTCAACACGCTTTTCGAGACACTATTCACCCTTTGCAGGACTATGGTGCGTGTTCCACATGAAAATACCACGACTGACCATGCTGATGCTCTGCTAGTCTTCGTACACGCCTTTCATGACGGAGAATCTATATCAGACTCTGCGTGAATATATCCCAGAGGATCCTTCCGTTCCCGATGCGCGATCAGTTCACTTCCTCATGTTCCCCGATGTCAAGGAAGAGTACTTCGATGAGGTGATCGAGCGCCAGGTGAAGCGCATGCAAGCTGTAATCGATCTTACTCGGTATATCCGGGAGAAGCATAACTTGTCCTTGAAGGTAAGCTTTATTCACCATCATGAGAACTACTTTAACCAATCTATGACACACAGACGCCTCTCAGAGAACTCCTTATCTTCCATCCCGAGGAGCAGTACATTGCCGATGTACAGTCTTTGCAACGTTACATTCAGTCAGAGCTCAACGTACGCGACGTGGTGTTCACCACCGACGAGGCCGCATGTGGCATTGGCTACCGAGCTGTCGCAGATTGGGGCACGCTAGGCCGTAAACTGCGCAAGGATCTCGGACGCGTCAAGAACGCGCTTCCCAATGTTTCCACCACCGATGTCAAGGCATACGTCGACTCAGGGAAGCTCACAGTTGATGGCATTGAGTTAGTCGCTGGTGACCTGACCGTGCAACGTTACCTCGAGTTACCACCCGCTTCTGAAGGCCAGTATGCAACCCATACCGATAATGATGTCGTGGTCAGACTGGATATCCAAGTCCACCCGGAGCTGATGGGCGAATGGCTTGCGAGAGAGGTCATCAACCGGGTACAGAAGCTTCGGAAAAAGGCTGGCCTACAAGCCACCGATGATCTGAACGTGTACTACTGCTTTGAAGAGGGCTCGGGGGCAGAGTTGCAAGACGCCCTCAAGGAGCACGCGGAAGTCATTCAGAAGACCATCCGTAGCGTGCCTGCTGACGTGAAGACTAGAAATGGTGGGGAACTCGTGATTGAAGAGGAACAGGAGGTAGCAGACGTCAAGTTCGTGCTGTCACTGGTTCGGGCATGATAATTTCAGAAGGCTAGAAGTAGACAAGAATCATATGGCGGAATTTGTACATTACCTGCTGAGCAATTAGGTTGGCGAATGCGAAGACGCGAGTTTTGATGAAGTGATGACAGGTGTGATAATACAGTGAGTTGTGGCTACAGATACAATTTGAAGTTGTGTGGGTATCAACAGATGATCATTTCTTGGTGGATCCGAAGCCGCCGAAGCCCATGAGCTTCGACATCTCATCATCACCATCCATGACAGTATCTTTGACAAGTGCAAGACGAGCTTCCTCCTTTTGAGCCTGTTTCTGAGCCTTCTTCTCGGCTCGCCGAGCATCTTCTTTCGCCCTGACCTCTGCAAGCCGCTGGTCAAAATCAAAAGCCTTGGCAGATGATGCCTCTTTGGTTTTTTCCCGTAGATATGCTATTCGAGCGCGAACCTGTGCGAGGGTAGAGCGTTCCACGCGGGTCGTCTGACCAAGTTTCCTGAGATCTATGGCTATGTTTAAAGATACACACAATTGGCGATCGTTGTGTTGACATACGTGCTTTGCTATTTATGTGATCCAAATAACCTGTGCTGTCCCTGTAGTTTCGATTGCAAGTTTCACAGAAGAAACCAGGCTGCCCCGGCCCTCGTGCGCCGGGATTCTGCACAACCATGGTTTTTCCGAGATTCTTGTCCAGTTCGAGAGAGGCTTCTCGACGTTTCATGAGCTCTGTCGGCTTCGGAAGGTCCTCCTTTGGGGCCTTGCGCGGTTTCCTGCCTGTATAACGAAGTAGTACCCGGCCTAAAAAGCCAGCTGTGGATATTGCGTACCTTGTTTCATGCGCTCCTCATTTTCTTGCATTCTGGTCCGTTCTTCCTCGTCCTTTTTCCGCGCCCGTTCAGCGTATTCTTCCTTATCCCATTTCTTCCTGAAATCAGTGTCGGCGGCCTTGGTGCCATATGCGCCAGCCTTCTCAGCCATGGTGGTTGGAGTAGAAGGGATCAATGTCACGTGGCACAGTGGTTACTGTTGAACGGATTCGGAATATTTGCGTTTTGCACTGACCCCCGCAGCAGTATCAGCAGTATCGTCTGTTCTTTCCATGCTTTGCGACTCTAATCTATAGAATGGATCCGGGTGATGCAGTTCCGCTCTCTACCTCTTTTCCCCTCCCGTTTCGCGTACTATTTTTGATCGGCTTGGGCATACTAGGATGGGCGACCAACCTCCATGGATTGCACCTACTTGGGATTGATGCAGGGTCAGCACTAGAGTTGTCCTCCGGTCGTACCTTCTTGCCTACCAACTCCTCGTCTTCACGAGTATTTTCGTCTCCACGACTATCTTATATGCCTGTATACCGTCTATTCGCAGGATATGCAACTTGGTGTTTTGCTGGATGGTCCTTCTTCAGACTTGCCACTCACTCGAACACTATGTTGGTGGATACCTTCAAATATATCCCTGCCCTGAGCTCTTTGGGTGTGCTAACAACTCTCATATGCCCATTTGAGTTGTGCCAAAAACGCGAGAGAGATATGTTCCTCCAGTAAGAGTGCTTTTTTACGTCTTTTCATGATAGCGTTGTAATAATCTTTAACAGGAGCGCTGCAAGGTGTATCTTCTCTTCAATGGATAGTCCAGTGTATTTCTCGGATGTAGTCTTCGCAGATGTGTTCACATCATTTGCAAAAGTTCTTGGTGACGTTTGGCTTTCTCTTTGCATGTTGCTTCCAGGTGGAAGTCTTGTGTCTCCCCCACACCTCGATGGCCTCTCTCAGTGGATACTTCCAACGTTCATGAGGTACGCACCACTCCCCCGTGTGTGAAAATCTGTACTCACAGAAGTCAGTCTACCGTATATCATTCGCTTCCGCCAGTGCTTGATCGAGTACCAGTCTCCTACCAACACCAGCAAGCGACCCCTCTTCAATGCGCTCAAATACGCATCTTCGTTCCCGGTGATATTCCTTTCTGCCGCTCAAAGAATTGTGGTACTGGAGCTCGCGGAGATGAAAGGTGAATTGGTCACGCGAGAGCCATGGCATGGGGAACATCCATTATTTCGCCTATGGTAAGCAAGGTTCATAAATTTGTCGTCGCCAAGTGATCTGCTACGTCAATTTAGGCTTCTAGCCGCGGCCGTGAACTCTCTATATTCCTTCTGGTGGGATTTGACCAATGATTGGGGTCTTAACCTTTTGAAATCGCGATCTGCGGAGTCGCGAAGACCCCTTGTGCTCCCATCTCTCCATTCAAAAACTTCTTCCATTGCTGGGTCTTCCGACGCACATATTGTCACACAATCTTCCGGCCACCAGGTTCTTGGTGGCGCAATACACCGTCACCAGTCATACCCTTATGGACTTCGACCAGTGCTGCTCTATCCGCTTCTGGTATACCCCCTGGTTATGTTCTTCAACCTCGTGCTTCGTATGACATGGTCAATCAAACTATCAAGTCATCTGCATTCGCAGTCGGAAGGAAGCGTTCTTATGCTCTGGCTTGAGGTTGCGGAAGTCTTTCGACGATGGATGTGGGTCTTCCTTCGGGTGGAATGGGAGGTCGCAAAGAATGCACAACACAAATCTCAGATTATGTCAATCAGGACTGCATCAGAGGAGGTGGAGTTGATGCCATCAAACCGTTCTGATCCTATGGATGATGATTATGTACTTGCATCAGAACACTCAGGATAAGGGTTTGCATTGTAGTGAGTAATCGGGTTCACTAGGCAGGGTCCGTAACAATATACTTACGGAACAGCTCATAGTATAGCATCCAGCAATTACAAATAGATATTAATACATCATGCCCTACTCGGCAATGCCATCAAACCGTTCTGATCCTATAGATGAATGATTATGTCTTCGCATCAAAACGCTCGCGATAACGATTTGCACTGTAAGTAATCGGGTTCATTATGCATAGCAATATACTAACGAGACAGCTCATACTATAGCACTCAGCAATCATCAGTACATGTTCATACATTAGGTCCCGCTCGGCGACTGGGTCCAGCTCGTTATTCACTGGTCACAACGCCAAAACCATGTCCGATCGAACCAAGTAGACGTTCCCATCGAAACATCAAATTTAACCTAACGAGTGTTGCTCGACAACAAAGTCTGATGGAGTAGACTGGAGGCTGCTTGTACTCTAACTGACCAATTCATGAACTCGTTCTCCCTTTCTCATGTCACATATTAAAAATGACAAAGAAAATTGGAGTTCCCATATGTGCTGGGGATCTCACCGGGGTGCTCCGACGCTCGTGTAAAGCTGATATGAACTCTGAACAAGGTCCACCCGAGTGTGTGTCAGGCGAGGAGTGTTTCATTTGAACGTGAGATGGGGCTAACTGCTAACGTCCCAGGATCTGCCCGCATCTCCCAAGTCTACTAAATATTGTTGTTGAACTCAGACGTCCGCCGTGGTGAGTGAACAATGGTTTCTTCCGATCCCGTCCGCATCAATTCTCCAACTGATACCATGCGAACGCCTTCTTCCGGGACGCGATATAATGGAGGGCGTTATTTTTGGCCAATGGGCGTGACCGGGTAGGCACACGTGATCCCCATCAGGACGCCATCTGCCAAATGGACGGATCGCTTCATCAGAGGCCAAAACCGGAAGAACCATGATGTGCACAGAGAACGGTAGGCCCACACAGTGTCAGCTGATGCATATTTTCCTATTACAGTAGGACCGCTTACACCCCGCACTCCCCCTATAAAGATCCTGGACTTTGGTCGACTTAAGAACTCATTCTCCACCCACTTTCCTAACTACACATCTTCCTTCAGTCCTCAGAAACTCAGTCATGAAGGTAGTGATGAATTCGCTGTCATCAATCACAAGATCTGACGCGCTTGCGCTTCTAGATCTTAGCTATCCTCTACAAGGGCGGTAATGCTGCTACGAGCGAGCCCCGTCTCCTTGGTACTGTGGAGAACCAGGTTCGTCTCATTGAGCATTTGGATTATCTCAAACAGGCTTACTGAAGCTTTCCGTATAGCTCGGTATCCGCAAGTGGCTTGAGTCACAAGGCCACGAGTACATTGTACGTGTCAAGGTTTTCCTTGGCATGCTTACGCAGTCGCCTAATTCTACTCATTCGTGTAGGTCTCGGAATCAAAAGAGGGCCCTGACAGCGACTTCCAGAAGCATATCGTTGATGTACGTCTAAGCCAAGCCCCTACCGTGACTACTGTATATATATTCGCGTGTGCTTACTTTCCTTTTTAGGCTGAGATCTTGATCACGACTCCATTCCACCCCGGGTACCTCACTGGTGACTTGATCGCAAAGGTATGATTGTTGAGCTATCAATATGAACGGTACATTCATACTCCTGATAGGCCAAGAACCTTAAGCTCTGTGTCACCGCTGGTGTTGGCTCTGACCACATCGACCTCAACACCGCTGTCAAACATGGTATTCAGGTCTTGGAGGTCTCAGGATCCAATGTCGTCTCCGTCGCTGAGCACGTTGTGATGTCTATCCTCCTCCTCGTCAGGAACTTTGTTCCAGCACACGAGGTATGATGACCCGCTAGCACGCGCTTCCCTCTGTTAATTGCCTGCCATCTAGATGATCGAGCGTGGAGACTGGATGGTCTCTGACATTGCTCGCAATGCCTTCGATCTCGAGGGCAAGGTCGTTGGCACCATTGGTGCTGGTCGTATCGGTTACCGTGTCCTCCAGCGTCTGCTGCCTTTCGACTGCAAGGAACTCATCTACTACGACTACGCTCCCCTGCCTGAAGGTTTGTACCACACTATTTTCGGTTTTATACAGCTTAACTCATGTATTACAGCTGCTGGTAAGGCCGTCAACGCTCGTCGCGTCGAGGACCTCAAGGACTTCGTCTCGCAGTGCGACGTCGTCACTGTCAACTGCCCTCTGCACGAGGGTACACTCGGCCTCGTAAACGCTGACCTTCTCAAACACTTCAAGAAGGGTGCATGGCTCGTTAACACCGCTCGTGGTGCTATCTGTGACAAGGACGCCGTAGCTGCTGCCCTTGCAAGTGGTCACTTGAACGGTTCGTGACCCCCACCACCTAATATCTGCACATTGAGCTCACATGGCAACAGGTTATGCCGGTGATGTCTGGAACGTCCAGCCCGCACCCAAAGACCACATCTTGCGCACGGCTAAGAACACCCTTGGCGGCGGTAACGGCATGGTACCCCATTACTCTGGCACCACCCTCGATGCTCAGGCTCGTTATGCAAGCGGCACCAAGAGCATCATTGAGAACTACCTCTCTGGCAAGGCCCAGGAGCCTCAAAACATCATCGTCGGTATCGGCAAGTACGAGAGCAAGGCTTGTGAGTACCTGTTTAGACACGTTACTCGTTGGTCTTGTCTGACATGTTCTTGTAGACGGTCAGCGTTGAACGTCGAACTGCGGATGCGCCTGTTTGAAACCCTTGCTAATATCTTTATGTATACAAAACTTATATGCACCTGTATGTCTATGCGAAGGAGGATGTACATTACTGATAGTATGAAAGAGCGAAATGATTGATATATATGAATTCCACACTCGCACAGCGTGAAGTTTATCGAGAATATCTTGCTGGAGACTGACTGCATATCATATGACTCTGACTCTGGTCCGCGTATTACTTTCAGGCGAGGTGGATTGCTCAATTCAGATATCATGCAAGTTGGTAAAACACAACTTAGATTTTCTACTCCCTGACTCTCCGGAGTAGACTAAGTAGGAAAGGTCAGTGTAATCTCCAACCAAAAAGTGGTGTCAAGGTAAGCACAGATTTAGAACCTCACGTTGAAAGTGGAACAACTATGTATGTGTTGGGCCGCCCACTCATCACCAAAATTACCGAATCCAGAGATCACCTGATATGTTGAATTTTCTGACACCACCAACGACACCTGCCCGTTATATCCGACATTTGACATGTCACCCCGGCACGCTGACGTCAAGCGTGTTATCTGTCAGACATATTTCATTTCGTAGTGTAGCGGTATGCCATATGTCAGATACATTTAGATACATCCATGTATTGTATAGAGAAATATAAAACAAAAATGAATGAAAACCACGCAAGTCAAATAGAAAGTACCTAAAGAGCGCCATAACCTTCTTCAATGAGTATGTCGTCATCGAGCACCTCACCGTACTCAGCTATTATCCTGTCCTCGTCATCATCCTCGTCCTCGTCCTCATTCTCATCACCCTCATCACTCTCGTCACCCTCTTCAATATCCCCCTCATCTAGTTCCTCGTCACTGCCGTCTTCGTCCTCCATTTCGATGTCTTCGTTGGCTTCACTATCCAGGTCTTCGACAACGTGTCCCTCCCACTGCAAAATATCGTCCCACTCCCGCATAGCCTTGTGACTGACGGCACTGCCACGAAATCGCATGAACATATCCCTGTCCACAAACCTAAATAGCATGTATATTGTTAGTAGTTGGTAGATAGCAAAATAAAAATGTGCGTACATATTAACATAATAAAAATTCCAATCTGGGTCTTCCTCACGTCGCGCAATCATTGGTTCAACAAGTCATTGGGAACGGCCATAAGCGAATCCTGGTATTATATGCACGCCCCTAATGACGCACTCTGGATCAAGGAATCCGAATGCATCGGGGCTTTCATCCTCAAAGAGTTCGAGCCATTGGAGCCTCTTTGCAGCGAATCCGGAAGGATTATCGTCACACTTGAACCATCAAACGAAGAGGACATCCATTCGCTTTGGACGGGTCCATATCACATCCGGGGATTTGTGGTATTCCACATTGACATGAAAAATCTTGATAAGACGAGCGTACCAGTAAGGGTGAGTGCGTTCATCCTCATGTGACATGACCATCAGGTCAGCACGAGTGTGGGGATTAATCGAGTCTTGCTCGTGTCGAAGGTCATAGGTGGTGTAGTTGATGTGAAGAATGCTATGTTCGAAGAGTTTGTTGTCAGTGATCAGAACTGAGTTCCGCTCTGCATCGGTAAACTTGTATTCATCGCCTTCATATACATGCCCTTGAAGGTGTGCATATAAGTGGTCTTTGAGACGAGGAATAAAGTTCTATGTCACATTATGAGCTAGATATGTTAATAAAAATGAGAATCATGACATACCTTAACGGCCAGATCATCCCCAAGCCTACCCAGCCAAGCCATGAGGTCAAAAGCACCCTTGGCAGCACTTTTGCGCTGTTCCCACGGTCTGTCAGACCTGGTTTCATTGTAGGACGAAACCCATCTCTGAGACCTGCCTCTCCCTGGGGCCTCCCCTCTCAATTACTCAAGAGGTGCAACAGCACCCTCGCAAGTCACCCCATGGACTTGTCCGTTACCATTGGAGGGTAGTCCCCTCCCATCCTAGAGGCCTCTCAGCCTGCCTCTCCCTGGGGCCTCCCCTCTCAACTCCTCAAGAGGTGCAACAGTGCCCTTGCAAGTCACCCCATGGATTCATCTGTCACCATTGGAGGGTAGCCCCCTCCCACCCCAGAGGCCTCTGAGAGACCCTCCCAGCATGTTATACAAACCTCTCCTGCTGTCGTAGGTATAGTGACCCTCTCGTAGCCTCCCATTATTCCTGTTATTGCTTGTTTATGTTTTTTTACTTATGTTGTTCCTATTATCTGATATTTATGTTTGATGAGATCTCCGTAGATTCAAGTTTTCCAATGCACAAAGACATATCAAATCTTGGCAGTGCAATCAAACTCTCTAAGGATTTCATTCCTGCGCAAGATTCTCGGTGATTTGGATGACATTATGAATGAGACAAAAGCAGGCTATGCAGCCGCTATACTGATATTGACATGAAAAATTACAAAACATAGTAGTAGCTACCTATGTAGGTAGGGTATAATAGGTGGCCACGACACAGCAACAAGATGATGAGGACATGCATGAGCAAAAAATGACGGGACAACATAACAACGGGGAAAAGCACGAAAACATCAGCAAAAACAAAACAAAATGATACAAATGAGGGGCGTGAATGTAAGGAGGGTATTGGTTAAGAGGGAGGTCCTCGGGGCTGGTTGTGTGCATCACGACTGGATCGTGGCACGGCATCACGGACATAGGGATCATCATGGTCTGTCCACCTCGAATTGTGGTATCTTCTGTCTTGTGGGTATCCTCCGTTACGGTATGGACCAACTGGACGATAGGGAGCTAATAAATGCCTGCGCTCATCGAGGTCATCACGTCGACTATATCCAGCTTCACGAGTATAGCCTGGATCAAATACAGGGCTATATCTGCTTGGGTATGAACGTTCCTGCTCACCATGACTAAAGTGACCAAGTAAATCCGATGCAGGAGAGCTATCTCGAGTGTTCAAATCACTCTCTGTGCGAACCTCAGTGGATCCGTAATTATCTGGAGGTGGGTAACCACCAAGGGAGCGGGTGGGACGAGAATCACGTGGGTAAAAGGCGTCGTGGGGGTGGAGAGAGTCGCGGTTGATAATTGGAGTTGCCTCATGCTGATTCTGGACCTCATGATGACGCCCATGGTAACATTGGTCATATGGGTGCATAGGGTCATGAGAATTAGCACGGGAAGGATAACGAGGGTCTTGTTGGATATCATCCCGAGGGTTGCGAAGGGTGCCACGAGGGTCATGCCAGAGGGGCTCGCGAGGGTACTGTAGAGGCTCATGAGGGTACTGTAGAGGCTCACGAGGGTTGCGTGAATGCTCATGATGGTTGTATAGGGCCTCGCCAGGATCACGATGATGATCATGGGGAATCTCATGAAGGTTGCGTGGTGGGTCATGTAGAGGCTCCGAGCCACAGGGAATCTGGGGATGAGGTCCATCACGAGGAGGCTCCGAGTCACGAGGAGTCTGGAGATGAGGGGCATCATGAGACAGCTCTGAGCCATGAGGAGTCTGGGCACGAGGGATATCAGGCTGTTGGATGGGAATACGAGGGACATCGGGCTGTTGGTTGGGAATACTAGGCGTGACAGCAGAAGCTAGTTCTTCCTCCTGTGTATCTCCTGCCGGAACTTTATTGTGTAGCACTGCTCCCTCTGAAACATCTGCCTGGACATGAACCTGCATTAGTGGACTCAGAGATGGCACAGTTTGTGGTAGCTTCTGCCTTCGCATCCTTGTCCTCTTCAGATTCAGAGTCCGAGTTGCTATATACAGTACGAAGGGCACGCTTCATTGTACACTTAGAGCCTTTGGTGGCCGGCCGTGGTTTGACACGTTCTAGAGTGTAGACTATGAGATATAGAATTAAATTAACAAATAAAAAAACTTACTCTTCATGTCCTCCGAGTCATTTGAAGGTCCATCTCGAAGTCGCATTACCATACCTATAAAATTTGAAATAAGCAGGGCTCGGTCAGAAGCAAATACTACTCACTTTCTGGTGAGGCTGCCATGCTCGATGAACCCACCATCAATGGGGATAGTGGTCCGCCCTTTGTTGGAGAAGGGTTTGATGCCTGCACCTTGGGTTGGGGGTTGTTCTTCGTCTGTACTCCTTTCTTCCCCGCTTTCGAAGTGTCAGTCTTGTCTGTTGATGGGGCAAGCTTTTTTGACGCACGCGATGTGTTTGCTGACTTGAGCTTCCTCTTCCCACGTGCTGCTTCTTCGTATTCCGTGTCAGGTTCTTCGGAGGGTTTTTCGTCAGTGGACGTTAGTTCGATAATATCACTCCGAGCTTGAGGGGCAGCTGGCCTAGGCACAACTTTGAAAGGACGTGAGGGTAGTGGTAGTGGGAATGGGAATGGAGGCGGAATAACTTCCATGCGCATGTGTGGTTTCCGGAGGATGGCCTGAGGTGCACGCTTGGGAGCAGAAGGTCCAGGTTGGTCATCGTTGTCTGATTCATCAATGGAGGGCAGAGGAGGAGCCTTAGGCACTTTATTACCCTTCTTGATTTTGGTGGTTGCACCGCTGGGCTTGAGGCGAGCAGGGCCGTTGTAATCTGTGTGGCCATCAAGAAAGAGTTGTCGGGCACCAGAATGCGCCCAATCAGATGAAGGAGCTTCGCCTGTGACTACAGGTTTCTCAGAGGCAATCACTGCCGCTACATATGATATAAAAATTAATTTGCTAGTGTGATGTAGTTGACACGTACGTCACTCATACTCAGATTTGCTAATCACCATAGTCCCTGCCTTCAAAGCGTCCACAAGTGCCGTAACTTCCTTCTGTGTCAGCGCAGCAATACCTTTCTTCTTGGAAATCTCGTTGTGAGTTTCCCCTGGTAAGAGACATTTGTGAGCTGGGTATCCTTTGATACAAAGATTGGCTTGCACGAGGGCTGCTGGCATAAGTTTCCAAGGGAAATTCTTATCGTTGAACCCAGTGCCAGGTCGGGCTAGCATAGCCAGATTATGTTAGTTAACGTGAGTGAAGAAAGAGTGGCAACAATCGAACATACCAAGTCGGGCTGGTGTGATGTAGTGCATGTTAGTTTAAGTGAATGACAAGACTTGTGACAATAGAACATACCAACTTGCTTGATGATTTGGTTCTTCACCCACTTTAAACCATCGTTGCGTCCCTCCACAATATCAGAAGACTGATCGAGGTTGTTGGTGGTTGATGTGTCCTCAAGGTTGGCATCAATGTCGTCCTTAAATGCATCATCAACTGTGGATAGGGATGTTGTATTACTGTTTGAAGCCAGATGAGGATTTGCGTGAACAAAATCAATCTTTGACTTACTACACATGTGCTTTGAGATGACCAATAATTGCATCATCACTGGCACGGCACCATGTCTCCCAAAACTATTGCTAGTTGAGTGTATGTCAGCATGTATACCAATGAATAAGCTTACCCCTGCAGCACCAGGTGTATTATAACAATGTCCAAGTGATCCGTCCTCGTTAACCACTTTACCACAGAGTGTTACAAGTAACATCGGCTACATGGCCCCCCTATCATTTTTCCCCTTCGTCCTCACCCTTGTATGCCTCCGGCTCGTCCTTCTCTACTGACTATCCGTTGACCGGATCCTCGGGACCGTTCCCGTCCCTCGTCCCCCTCCTATCGCACCAACGTGCGCACGTGCCCTCGGGCTATGACTTGTTCTGACTCGTGCCACCAATGTGGCTTTCCTTATCTTGTCTTATCTTTCCTTTGACTCGTGCATGCTGCACATTGTATCATTTACCGTTGGCTCGTTCCAACGTTTCTCGGTCTCATTCCGCATTCGACCTTACATCACTAATCAGGCTCTGCTACCAGCTTACCTATACCCTTTCCGTTTCCCCTTTGCCCTTACCTACAGTACGGTAGCCTTGCCCTTAACCCTTTCCACTTAGTATAAGTAGTCGGTCACTCTGTACTAGATTCCCTAACTTGAATCTACTCAATCTTCCCTCGAACATACTTTCCTCTGAAGCCCCCTCAGCTTCAGTCTCTAGTATCTTTTCTTAGGTGCTCCTCGCGCCTAAGTCTACCTCGATCGACTACTCATCGTTCGGACAAGACTGTCCTTACTTTGAGAACGTCAGTGACTTTGAAGACATCCGTCTTAGAAGTCACATGACACGCGCGTCTCTGATATCTGCCGACTCATCGTTGCCAGTCTCAGTCGCTACACCGGACCCTTCCGGTTACGTCACGAACGTTAGCGGACGACGCCCCTCTTAGGGCTCCGCATAACAGATCTATTTGAGTGCGTAACACAGAGTACGATGGCTGCTTCGAAGCCGAATTTAACAGAGCCTGACTCGAGCTATGACAACAAACGAGTCAGGGGATGTTAGTAGATAGCATAATAACATACAATATTGACCACTCTTCGATAATGTTTTTGAAAAGTCTGGCCACGCTGCGCGATGGTTTGAGGAGATGATCCCAGGAGAGACACCTCCTCATGCATTGACAGAATGTCTTGATACGTGTCAGGGTAGGCTACCTTAAATTTGTCATAGCATTGTGTTTGCATGGTTGCACCTGCAAGGGCGATAAATATGATGTATATGACTCAATATCATACTCACTGGGTGTGCCACCTCCTTCGGGTGCCTCTCTGCCAATGCGAGCAAGTTCCTGCTGGACATTATCTTTAAAGTAGTTTGCGTAAAGGTTCCAGTAATTGACACTAGTCACTGTGCGTCCACGGCTCTTCAAAAAGGAATTAATCAGCTGATTGATGGGGAGCGTGGTAGAAGTTGAGAGATTGAGAAAGTGACGTTCGACTTCTGCAAACCCGGTATCAAGGGTGGCATTCAGCTCTGTAGACCTGCGTCCTGCGACAGTGGGACCATCATGATGTGTTATCGGCTCATTCTCCTCAGGAAACCGTCTATTTGAGACAGCAGCAGAAGGGTAGTATGCTAGATCCAACTGTGGACTAAGATCTCTCATCACAGCAGGGAGCGCACGAGTCGTGGTGGTGTTCGTTGAGATTACGCTATTAGCCTTGCTGGCACCATGCTGCAGTGGTGTTGGTGGTATTAGATTCGTGGTTGGGAGTGGGGGTGCATGATCTTGAGGCGAGGATGGTACGGGACAGAGCACAAATGGCGAGACACGACCAGATAGATCCTGGGTAAAACCTGAACCCACAGGGTCTTGCGAGCGTTCATGAGGAAGTGGCATCAATGGACCCATTGGACTCGGAGGAAAATGAAACGAGGGCTGAGGTGGTAGGCGGGACATGTCTTGCGTGGTAAGCTGATGTTGTGGTCCAATGGGCATATCTGGAACTTTGCCGCCTTGCAAATTAGTAGGGACAAATGATCCACCCTATATTGACTTACCATCGGCTCCAACCATGCCTAAAGTTTGATCCTCAAGTAAGCCAGCTGTGAAAGTGTCACCTCCCATCATACCATAGGCGTCAGCATCAGAAGAGTGTTGCTCCATCCAGGCAGCTTGGTGGCTCATGCTAGAGCCATAAAACAGATCTGGCATTTGTGTGGGGGCAGGTGGAAATGGCGAGGCGTGACGACTGTGAGTAACATTAAGCGTAAGTGATGACGTGTCGCTTGATTGTGCTGGGGCAGCAGGAGCAGGTGGAAATGGTGAGGCGTGACGACTGTTAGCAACATTGAGCATAAGCGATGACGTGCTGCTCATTGAAGTTACATCCTGCCCCATGTGGTTAACAGCTGGTGGATCAGACTGTGTGCTGTCCTCAGAGGGGTGCTGAAATGCCTGGCGGCGGAGGGTGGCCCCTTTTATAATGCCAATGTCCCGTGCTGTAGCCTTGAGCTTGCTCCTCAGGTGGGAGGGTGTCAACTCAACAGGTGGCGATTGATATCGTCCTCCGCCTAACTGTTCTTGAGTATAGTCGAATGTAGCAGGAGGCAAGTCCATGAAGGGGTTAGAAGATGACCGCTGGTCACTGGCAGGAGGATTATCACGGGTATTCTGGGTCATATCTGCAGTAGATAGTCAATGGTATAAGGTAATTGGGTGGAGGCAAGAGGGCATTGCTTACCTGGTCAGAGATGCGGAATTTGGCACTGTTTTTTGAATGGATTGCACAAGATACTAGGTAGATGACTGGGAATCCTGAAGGCAGGCGAAAAAAAGGACGCGAGGCCTCATACTTATGGAATTTTCTAGTGAGTACAGGGTCTGCATTTTTGCGGACCATTAATTTCATTCAGACCAAATAAGTTAGAACAACAGGCAGGAGCACAGAAGCGAAAATAAATGTACGAGACATTACGGAGGTCCAAGGATGGTGGCCGAGGAGGGTGTAGAGGGCGACCTAACAAATAGCAATGTCTTTGGGAGGCTCCAGAGGCTCCAGAGACTCCAGAGAGGGCTTAGCATGAAAGTGAATCCATGACTAAAGATAATGTTAAAGAAGCAATAAGGCTGAAGCCTTACTTCGTACCCAAAGACAACGGGATGTCAAGATTAGGTTAGAAGTACACAGATCATATTGAGCTAACATACATGTGCTATCTACATTTGGTCCCAAGATAGAGACGCTCAATCAATGTCTAAGGCGCTTTGCAGGGCGACTACCACCCTCGCTGACTTGTGACTCCTCATCCTCAGAATGAATTTCATTGCCAGTACTGTTGGCATATTCAGAGCTGGACGAGCCCCCCTTGACAGAAGCAATTGGGGGAATGAGATTCTTGGTGCGCGTAGCAGAGGGTTTGTAGAATGCTCGAGAAGCTGGGCGAGGTCATGGCCGTGTGATAGAAGCTGAGTGGGGTGGTGGCGGCATGATAGAAGTTGGGCGGGGTGGTGGCCGTGTGATCTCCACAATAACTTGGACGTGACGATGAGAGGTAGGTGAAGGAGGCTGTTGAATACGGGGAAGGCCCTTTCGGTCAATGCGGCCATCAGCAAATGCACGTCGCCCGCGGGAGTGCATGGAGCAAGCTGAGGGGACATCCCCAATAACAACAGGGTCTTTTGAAGTGGTGAGACGCAAGTGGGCAGCGTCATTCGTAACTGCTCGAATGGTAAGGGTACCTTCCTTGAGGCAATTGACGAGACTGATGCGATGCTGTTGGGGCAGATCGTGGATGCCTTTGGTGCAAGAGAGAGTGGGTCACAGCTCGCCAGGCATCAAGGTCTCGTCAGGATAATTGACAAGGACATACCCAAGGCGAGCGAGTTCTTTTGGGAGTGTTTTCCAGGGAAAGTCGCGACTTGTCCGCCCATGCAGTGTCCCACCAAGTGATGCTACAATGATGTCAATATTAGTGTGAATGTGTGGTGACTAAACCTACCAACAAGCGCCTGTATCCCACCCATAATACAGGGTATCCCATCAAGGCTCTTCCATCCCTCACTAACCTGGGAGCCTTTGGTGACTTGAGAGCCTTCACTAAGTTCAGTGTCCTCTGTCGACACTGCCTTATCCACCATCTAGAAGTAGATCAGTAAAATCCAAATATACAACTACCAGTACTTACAATACGAGTGACCAAAAAGGATTGGGAGTCTGTAAGCGTGGCAACATCGACGAGGTAGGATGATGTACCGGTGGTTGCGGCCATTTTGCAGGAGGCAACGTACAAACAACGTACAAAAGTACTAGCAGATATTGATCATACAATAAAATGCAAACCATGCGAAAGAAAATTCTGGAATATAGACAATTGTAGTAAGTTCGAAGAAGTTCAATTGAAATGTTAGGTTGGAAGAGGCAGAGAGTTCAAGCGCTAAATCTTACCCAGAACAGTAATTGTGACCCAAGGGGCTGTAACATAGCGCCAGCAAGGCTCAAGAGGTTGCAATTTTTTATAGCGTCCTGGGAGGCCTATTTTGGGAGGCTCAAGAGGGTTGCCTGTTTCTCATAGCCTCCTGTGAGGCCTACCGTCACAAGGGTAAGTGAATGAAATTGAAAATACTGTGCATACTAAGTTTCGTAGATCCCCCTGGACTCATCACCTACTACATATCCCATCCATGCAGCGGCACACCATTGAATTTGGACTGTCTACTACTGTATCCCTACCTAGCTGTTTCTACAGGTAACTTCAATCTCACTCGGGCATTTGTCCAATAGTTTATGTTTATAAACCATACATTCTCTTCTAATCTATCACTGTATGTACACACAAGTATGCACTACATAATCTAGTTGTCTTGTCTCCAACCCATGAACGGAGCGCTCATGAGCTTCTCCAGCGCACCTGTAACCACGAACAGAGCATCAGAAAACCTGTGAACAGATGAGAAAGATATTTAAAGTAATATATAGTAGAGCCTATCGCAACAATTTTCGTATATTTGCTGAGTACTTTTAGATGGGAGTAGCCGGACAAAGACACACATACCTATAATCATGAACGGAGCGCTCATGAGCTTCTCCAGCGCACCTGTAACCATGAACAGAGCATCAGAGAACCTGTGAACAGATGAGAAAGATACTTAGAGTAATATATAGTAGAGCATCGCAACAATTTTTGTATATTCTGCTGACTACTTTTACATGGGAATAGCCAGACAGATATGGCACATACCTATAATCATGAATGGTGCGCTCATGAGCTTCTCCAGCGCACCTGTAACCATGAACGGAGTACATCAGTACCTGGTGCAGGGATTTGGTGAGTTTCGAGGGCCAGACAGAGACGGCACATACCCATAATCATGAACAGAGTGCTCATGAGCTTCTCCAGCGCACCTGTAACCATTGATGGAGCACGTTGGCACCTGGTGCAAGGATCCAAGGACGTGCTTCACCATGCTAATACTAACATTTTCACAAGAAGGCCAAGGTGGGTGGCTATATTGCATTTTGAATAGTAACAGGGCGAAATGTATATTAAGTTGATATTGAACTACACTATGACATCATTGGTAGTGCAAATACCGTAGTAAGGAGATAGTATCGCATATTGTCCATATCTTGCTCGTGCATTCCTGTAATGTGTCTACTGCGTACAATGGCCAAAATGGTAGCTAAAACCCATACGCCACAGTCATACCCATTATTTTGAAGACGTTCAACCTAAATAATACAACCTGTCAGAATCATGATGAAATTGGCATGTGAAACTCACATTCAGTGGTCGTGCCACCCACCCTTCAAGGTCAATATCAACATGATGACCATGTTGACGCGCTATTGCAAGGAATCGAGCAATCAGTTTCATTACATCCTTTCGCATCAGGTGCATCAGTCAAATGAAAATGTACACTTAAAATCAACTTACTTTGACGTCACTTTGCCAAGGCTTCCTATCACTAAGGCTATCAAAAAGGTGAAGCTCTTTGTGCGACAGCCGGATGACACATAACACCCAGTGCCCAATGACTGATGGATGATGAATCGGAAGAACCCAGGTATCCTTGTCCCAATAGCGGACCCACGATGCATTACGCCAGATGACATCATCTGGTGCATTGTAACAAATATGGGGAAGATCATGAGTTGAGAGCATTGTGACCCGTGTCGATGTATTTTGCTGAGAGTACCACAGAAGGATGGCACAACTGTTGATACATACATCATTGAGACGTGCTGTAGGAGATCTGAGCATATCAATGTCTTTCGGCTCAAACACCTGAGGAGGGATTCCATCATGTGAAGGTCTTACTCGGGCGACAATCTTCCTGCACTGAGAGCCTGGCTCGCGTGTTGGAATGCAGAAGTTGTCCACAAGGAGATTCTATGAAACTTCATTAGCACTACATTACTGACATTAAATATAAATGTACCTTAGGAAGATCCCAATGAATGACGGCATTAACTTCACGCCCATGATCAGTCAAGTCATCCTCATCTAACTCCAGAGCATCCATCCCACCCTCTAGAACATCAGCAAGCACTGCTTACTCAAAATCAACCTGTGGGGCATGATCAGGATCAATGACAGAGAATTCATCCCCAGCCTCAGGGTCAGGTAGTGCCAGTGTGTCAGCTTCGCTCCAGTGAAGATCCATGGTTCGTGAGCCTCCCGAGAGGGTGGTAGCAAGATCCTGTGCCTTTTCCACTTGGCCAGCGAAGCATGCCGAAGAAGCTAGGGGATTGGACCATCGAAATCGAAGCCAGAGGAAATTAGCAAGTCGTTGTCGTAATGGAACAGCGAAAGGTTGACCTACAAATGCATTAGAAAAGGAACATTACATCAGAAGAATTGAGTGAACTTACTTTCCGGCAACTGAAGGGCAAGTTCAAGTGCTGTAAGTTCATCTCCGAAGAAGCAACAAAGATTCTCGGCCTCAATGCCAAGCCGAGTCTGCTCCTCTTGACAGCGTTCCCGCTTTAGAAGCGCACGGATACCATCTCTTACGTCTGAGTCCTCCAACCATCGGGGAATCTCTCCAACTGATGGTGTGATCCATACGTCCTCCATCAATCTTGGATCACAACGTAGTTCTGTCAGTTTTGTGGGAAGAGGGGCAGGCAGTGGAATCCCCCAAGTGGGATCATACAATGACTCAAGTCGTTCACAGTAGGAATTAAATTTGCGGATAGCGGTCATGAGGGCAGGTTGACGTTTAGCTATAGCTTTACGTGTGTGTTGATGTAGCTTAGTGCCTGCAGGAAATTAATAAAGTGTTGTGCATTGAAAGGGAGGAATATTACCTAAAGCCTGTTGTGCGCCACCAACAGTGTGGTCAAGCTTGTCCCACTCGAAAAAACTAGCAATGGCACGCTTACGCACGTTCATCTTAAGATCCTGCGCCATTAAAAGAGTGCGGACAAAATCAAGATCAACCCCATGAAGTTCAGGGGAACCTCTCATGAACATTTAATGATGAGTAGAGGGCCTCGACTTTATCCATCAGTCAGCCATGTCCCCTCTCAAGACTCTCCAGCACCTCTAAGGTGTCATCAGAGGCAGATTCTTTCTCCAACATAGCTCTCGTAGTCTGTAGTGCTCTATCTGATGCGTCCAGGTCTGCCTGGAGAGCTAATACAGTGTCCAGCTCGTTCTTCAGATGAGCAGGAGCATCTTGCAAGATCACTTATTAACACTGATGAGGCCTTAGTGAATTGGACTTACGAGCACGAATAGATAATTGTGAATGACATTGGAGGGACCACTCAGACTCCAGTTCATTGACAGGAATTCTGCATCGTTCTAGCATAGCTTGCGCTGCTGAACCCTGCTCTTTGATGCCTCGTCTGAGGCGGTGCTTGATCCAGTCACCGAGGTCTGCCTGCATCTCGGACCCTATGGCTGCTGCTTGTCGATCAATAAGCCACAGGCGGCGCTGGCGCTAAGGTCTTCTCTGAATGAGGTCATAATTAAAATGATGTGGGACGTACAGAAGAAGTTCTCTCGACACCGATCAGCCGAACAAAGTGTGACCAAAGTCGTTTGGTCCGTTCTCCATCAGACAACCCAAGTCCAAGGCACATTCACGGATTATAGACAAGTTGACAAGCCCACTCATGGCCGTATGCATGCATTGCTGTAGTTGCAAAACGGAGTCGTTTGGTTACAGTCTCGGGAAGAATCTCATACTAGAGAGGTGTGAGTAAGTAAGTAGAACTTAAGTCTGAGCATACCTTTGCAAGTGATCTCGCTAGAACACACCCAACATCATACAGGGCGACAACAGTAGCCTCTGGTGGGAGAAGTGAAAATAAGTGCTGAAGGAGGGCTACGGAATACTTTTGTTGTTCTCCTGGCGAATCAATGTTAGCAAAGAACAGAGGGATGTCATGACGACAGATCAGTGCCATGATCCCAGTGTCATCAAAATTGTCCATTGCAGCTTTTTGCTTTTTGCCGTCAGCAGCCTCGTAAGCCATTTCACATTGGTCCACAGCTTCGTCAGGGACAATGGGGGTATGGACCTTTGGGGGGTGCTTACATTGAGCGTCTATATGGTGGCCGACTTTGTCAATGAAGTTTTTGGGGATAAAGTAGGTAGGGTCATAGAACGGGGGACAATCGCCAGCAGCACGGCGATGACAATGGTGGAAATTCCCATCTGTTGCGACATGTATATCGCCTCCTTCATCCATGGGCCTACCATGCAGTAGGCCACCAAAGCAAGCTGGACATCGTTGGACCAGAAGTGGCGCACATCGACCTGGATGTAAGGAGGTGAATGGAGGGAAATCAGTCTTGTGCAGGGAGGCTTGGAAATTTGTGATGCGATTGCGACTGTGTTGGAGAATTGTCTCGAGTTGTCGTTCAAGTTGAATTTGCAGGATGTCGAACCACTGAACGGCATAACCAAGACCCCAACAAAATGGGTCTCGGATGAGTTGACCCTTCAAACGCTTGTCAATAATAATTCAAATATGTAACTGAAACTTACCTGTGTGTCGGTCACCTGGAAGCCCCGCCGAGAGTAATGATTTTTTAATGCTGATGCGAGAGCATTGATCGCATCACACGAGCATTCAAACAGTGCACGGTAGAATGAAAGTAAATCAACAGATACAGCCATTCGAGGCTGTGAAGGCGCAGTTGGGAATAGACCATGGTGGAGAAGTACCTGCAGGAGAGTGGAACACATGCAACTTAGCACATCTATAGACGCATATCCTAAGGGAGCATCAGTGTCCACTTCCGTGATACAGAAATATAAGTTTACGGTCAAAAAATAAACACATCAAAGTTGTCCGTTTCGGTGTACATGAGAGTGTCCCAGCACATGCAGATATGACTGAATGAGTTTTTTCTAGTGCTTTCCCCTGTGTTTGTCCCAAGTAGAGGAGTAGAGGACTGATGAGAGTTGGGATGAGGTCGCTCCAGTTACCATACAGTAGACTAGCTGATCTGTCGGCGGCAATCCGTCGTTTGACTGGAGTGTCGATTGCTGGAATATCAACAGATGGTTCATCAAATGTTTCCACATCTTTGAAGTGAAGTGCCGTGGCATCATCATTCTCTACGTGTTGAGGGTGCTTGGCAGTATCATTGTGTGATGGATGAGGAGACGACACCTGCAAGTTTTGTTCTTCCAAGTCATCCCGCGGCTTCATAAGTTCCTTCATTTCAGCCAAAAGTCGGCGGCGCTTCGCCTCTGCACCTGGTAACTCGACCAATGTTTGTGTTTTCCGTTTATCTCGAGCTTTTCTGGGGCTCACAAAGTGGTGGCCTAGGCCAGATGTTACAATTTGAGCTTTACGAGTAGGACGGGGTGTCAAGTAAGACATAGTAGATGGTTGAAAAAAAGAAGAGAAGGACATACCACTATGAAGCAGGGAGCTGCGCCAAGTGCAAGGGAGGGGTGTAGGAGGTATCAGAGGTATGGGGCAAGAGGTACGGGAGGTATTGGAGGGTGGGGCAAGAGGTACGGGAGGTATTGGAGGGTGGGGCAGGATATATCGGAGGTATCAAAGGTATCAAAGGGTGGAGAGGTGCACGACGAGGTGCTGAGAGGTGCTGAGAGGTAATGTCTTCTTAGATAGATGATCTATAGATAAACACCTATAAAAACAAATATCTCCACGGTCAGCGATTCAGACAAATACCAATGACTGATAACGTGGTTGTTCGTGGGTGGCTAGTTGTATACTACCCAAAGTATATTCAGCTAAGGATACTTCTGCAAGATCAGTAATATGATGGTTAATCCAATCTATGGACTTTGACAGGAAAACAAACAAACAAACAATGGTCAGCCCGACAGTATGGCAATGACCAAAAGAATATACGGGATTCTTCCTCAAGTTCCCTTTCAACAACAGTGCCTCGTACCAACTATACTCCAAAGAAATGGTGCGGAATTACAATGATAAACTCCCTCAGCACAGAACAGGTAGAATCAAAGGTCAAGACTAGTCAAAATGCTTTATTGTAGAACTCTTAGCTCAATATTGAACCTGCTGTCAAGGAACTCTTCTTTGAGTATTCAAACAGACTCAGGAACAGACGTCCTTGGGTTTACTACCAAGTCCCCTCTTCAACAGCTAAAGCCTAGCAGGCACAGAATATCTTGGCTCAGTATCACTACTCAGATGAGTGAGGTCAAGCTTCACTATCAATTCCTAAAGTCTCCCCACTATGCTACTACTGAGTCTTAGGTGGACGTAGAGACAACACGAATATTTTGGATCAGTATTTTTGGACAAAGAACACCAAAGGTCAGTGAAAGTAAAAGAAAAGAAAAAGAATAATAGAAATCAGAATAAAAGTGTGGCTGTACCTTGCTTGCTGGTTGTTGCACACAGTGAGCTCACAGCGGGTCATTCAGTATGATGAGCTTGCAGTATTACTGTCTCTTGAGAGTGTTCCTCTCAGTCTTGAAACAGTTCTTGACACTGGTACTGACACTTATCACACCTTACTTCACAACTTAGTGTTAGTTGGGCTGAGAAACACCCTACTACCTGCTGGTATCTGCTTTTTTTATTTCAAAAACTGAGGTCATTATATACACAATAAATGTGGCTGTGCTACTAGTGTATTCAAGAGTCATCAAGAGTCATAATGAGTCATATGTGCAAGGTGAGTCATAGTGAGTCATAGTAAGTATCTATAGTGAGTCATATATTCAGAGGGAGTCATAGTGAGTCATTGGGTATTTGCTAAGTCATGTGACCTGTCCAACCCCTGATGACAAATCCAGAAGGAGAGTAAGAAGTGTCACATGATATGAATCCTGTGTGTGGCTGTCTTTGCTTTGCTTTGTTTGAAGGGTGAGAATGACGCGAGCCTAGTATTTAGGGGTTTACTAATGTTTTTCCAGGACAACATATGTGGGAAATATTTTTTCACAGTCACCTGACATGTGTGGGATTTTGTCTGAGTCATCACCATGGCTGACTAAGCAAAACTCATCGCAGAATTAAATGTACTAAAATATTCAGGCTGCTGGCATATAGACTTGAAAAAATAAAAAAAATAAAAAGAAAAGCAAAAAATATTCCCTTAGCCTCAGTCCAACTTCAGATAAAAGGGAAAAGGGTTTCATAGTGGTATTTCAGGGTATATGACTCATGAGAGAGTATTGGTCGTCCATGCACTGAACCAGTTTGGTGCAGGTCAGCGTGCAACGAGATGGCAAGAGGAGGGAGGGTAATGATATGTGCAGGAGAAGAGCAATGAGGTGCCGAGTGGAGGGTAATGATGTGCGCAGGAAAACAATGAGGTGCCTAGAGATGAGGAGGGACGAGGTAAACATGAGATAGGTTGAGTATGAGCTAGAGGAAAACTTTCCACATCTGTAATCATACTCTAGGGTTCGGAATGCAGCAGCTTGCATTCCGAACCCTAATATATGGGTCTAAATTGATGTTCCATTGCAGAGTTGAGATTTTTCGTCCAAAGGTTTTTGAACTAAAATTGTTTAAGTGTCATGACAGTGCCACACATGCACACTGTGACATACATTGTGAAAACCAAACGACGGACAGCGTAGATGAGAGCCTAAGAGTTCAGATGCTGGACAAAGTAGTATAGCACTTTTAGAGTTCATGTAGGCCTGCAGGGATGTGCTGGAGGCTCGCGAGGGAATGTGAGAGTACAAAATATGATTGGATGGTGGATAAAGTGGTGCTAGAGCCCTATTGTGAGGGTTAATGGAGGCACGCAGGGAGGTGCTGGAGGCCCAGGAAGGAATACGAGAGCAAGAACTATAATTAGATGGCGGGTGGGTGAGTCTCAGAGACTAATTTCCCACAACATAGAAACCGGGTCTCTTAGACCCTTTATAGGCACCGAGAAGCGCTGCCTGAGGTGGTCAAAAGTTGAACGAGCAGATACGGCGATGTGGTAATGGTCCGAAGGCGAGGTCCGCACACGACAAGGTCTATTGGTACCCTGTTGGGCAGAAAACTGTGCCCGAGCATTGATTACCTTCATACAAAGTCGTTCAATGGCATCTTGATTTGCGATGCTTGCAGTCATAGTTGCGTTTGTTTTCGGAGTGCGAGGGTAACATCATTTGAGACACCAGTGCTCCAGTTCTCCCTATACTGGAATTAGATAGTATGATATCAACAAGAAAAAAGACTCACCGGCTGTGTAGTATAGCTGTCTGTCATCCCCCTCATTCTAATCGTGGCCGGGTAGTCCCCAAGTGCGTGAAATTTATAAGTCTGGATGTTCAACTTCTTTACCTTGGGACGAGAAGCACCTGCTGTCTCCTTAGCTGATGTGCCCTGCTTTGAAGCCAATGCAGCTTGTTGACGCCCTCGAGCTGCATGTTCGTGAGGCAGTTCCATTGTGTGAAAGTGTTCACATGTCGTCCTTTTGAACTTTTGAATGGTGTTGCCAAGGACCGCTGTAGCCACGTCGAAAAAGTTCAAGGTGTCTTCAGTATGGAGGCGGAGCTTCACATACGCTTGCCAGGTAGCAAGGTCGAATAAAAGGTCCAGGATGATGCCATCATTATGCGGGTCAAGGAGTAACCCTTCAAAGACTGGTATAGCGCACTGAAAATAAATCTGAAATCAGTTGTGAAATGTTATGTGAAATGATCTAAAACTTGCCTATAATAAATCTTCGAAATCTCGGGCTGCAAGGTGCTTCATTGCAGAAGCATTCTTGTGGAAATGTCGGATTGTGCCTCTCCCAAATGTTGGCACATGATGGTATCTGTGGCAGAACATTATGTATGAGAAATATTAGCAAACAAATCCAAAACATACCTCCAGTTCAACTCCTGCACTGCCGCACCCCCGGCAGCATGGATAATACACATCAAGTGAGTGAAAATAGCTTTCCACACACCGAGTTCAAACTCGTGCAACATGTCTACTACCAGCATCAAAAAGAAATTGAATCCAAATATAAAAAGCTGATCAGAAAAGGCATTCTGTAACTAGTTAGTAGAAATTCGAATACAATATGAACAACTTACACGTGTAGGGACAAGAGACTCAGAATTAAGGACTGATTTCACTTGCTTGCCGTCCACTGGTGCATCATGTTGGAAGATGAGTTTGCGTGCGTGATCAATCTTGTTGCAGCGAGCCTGATCATCAACACATCGGAGTGTTATGTGATCATTCATATTGCCTTCGGTCCCCATCTCAGATACATCAGCCTTCTTGATAAGGCAGCGTGGACATAGACATACACCAAGAAACTTAATTCTGGCAAGTAAGATCCTAATATGATGTCAATTTCAGTAACACGTGAGATGAGAGAAAAACTTACTTCTCTGGATAATCAGCAGAATATGAAAAAAACGAGGAAATACTCGGTGAGTGATGCCATCTCCACAACGGATCACAATTGCCATGCTCATATGCGTGCATGAAATCTTCGTCGAGGAGGAGCTTCCATATTGCCTGCATAAGCTCCCACTTGCAGTGTGTGTGCACCTCTGACGAAGACGCATCCTCGAAGATACCAAAGTACGAATCTTGAAAATCATCTGGGATCTGATTTTGTAGTAAGTAGGGGTAGATGATTTGAGTGATTTGAAACAAACTCACCAAAGGAATATATGCGACATGATGGCATGCGCAAGCTGTAGGCTTCCTGCAGGTATATTTAGATTCATTACCGAAAAACAGATAAAAAGGCCAGAGGGATGCATCACTGAAATTCGAAAGGTGTGTCGAGTCAGAATACATCATAAGTGATGCTACAACACATTCCAGATCGTCGTCCAGACTGCGGGGAAGGGAATTGACCTCAGCGTGGGCCTCCATCATTGCAGGGGAAGAATATGCCTCCGAAAAGACCTCGATACTTCGCTCGTCTGAGACTTTCCACATCTGACGAAATGGTGTCATATGGTATGTTGTCGCTGCACCATCTGCAAACAGCATCAGTAAATTCACACATTGCTTAGCTTCCTTTTTTGCAACTTGCCACCGGCTAATTTCCCAAAAAGGCACAGATAAGTCCCTCGCAAGAATGGTGACACCAACTTGCTGTAAACTTGCCACAAGGCAATTTTAAGTCGAAAAAGCAGGTGCCTCCTCTTGGCCGTGATTTATTTCAATCTTTTCTAGCTTATTGGGCAATTATTTTTAACAGTAGCACTTATTTCTCTGGTGCATTGCGCAAATTGTTGATTCTTATTTCACTTATTGTATGCTTATTTCACTTATTTCACACTTTTAATATAAAAATACCCACAAAAACACTGGCATTTTGTAAATTAAGCGAGGGAAAGAGCATGCAAGTACTAGTAAGTAGCGAAATATGGACGTCAAGCAAGAACAAGCGTGAGAGATTCAATATACTATGCGGCACCTAGTAGTAGTGAATGACTCTACAAAATCGTCAGTTAGAGAATAGTAATGAACAATGAAACAGTACTACCAGTCGTCGTAGATGAGTGCACGCTCATCGTCAGAATCCTCGCTGTCGAGAGCAGTGGGTGCACCACGCCTCTTCGCAGCAATGTCCTTGGTGCGCTCCCAGACGTCCCGGATGACCGACTCTCGGAGGCGGTTGATAGACTTCATGTATCCCCTGGTCACCTCACCGTAGTTCGTGTCTGAAAACACCTTGAGAGCACTACTGGGCTTGCCCGAGGCTTTGTTCATGGTGTGTGGGACCTTGATGGCCTTTCCTTTGCTGTTGACTTTCAGTTCACTGACGCGCGTGTCCCCACTGAAAATATCGAGGGCACATTCCATCTGAAAGACGAGAAATGAGTTAGTCATGGTATGACGAGAGAATGAATATACATGCCGCCGCAGTGGCAAGACTAAGGGCGCCCTTTGCGTGTGTGACCGTCCTGTGGCTGTCAACAGCGCCCCAAGTAGTGCACCTATGCTGTACGAGAACTTGAATGAGGAGTTCAGATTGAAAAGGCTGCTTGAATTTGCTGTCCTCGGTGACAGTCCCGTTGTGATGACATGAAGTGGGTAAGTACTGTGATGGCAGTAGTGCCAACACCGTTGCGCCACTCTGATAGCCGCTGGGTAGCCTAATAAAAAAATAAAACACAATCAGATATGAAATGCGTCAAAAATGACTTACTAAAGCCATAACCGGCCCATCAATGGTGACCGTGTGAGGTATATCCTTGTAGACCGCATTCCAAGTGTCTTGCATAATAGCGCAAAGCGTCATCTCCGACTCGAGTCGGCCCCAAACTTCGTCTTGATCCCCAACAGCGGAAATGAGGGTAGGAATGAAAACCGAGCTCCACCTAGCGACTGCCCGAGGACCTCCAGGAAGGTTTTTGATCCTGTAAGCAGAACGGGGGAGGATCTCCACCTCTACAGATTTCAGCACAGCGCCAGAAGTAGCACTCGAGATGCTGGAAAGACTATGAGTGTGTGTGATAGAAGACTTTGTCCGCTTTGCCACAGGAGCTCTGTGTTTGACGCCAACATTAGTCTACATAATTTGTAGTTAGTATGATTTAAAAATAATAACCAAAGCTTACTACCGCAGAAGTGATCCGCAAGGATACTGGTTCGGATTTGGTCTTGACCACCACAGGCTTGACGTGATTCACAAATTCAATATCAGATGAAGGTGCATCTTCCTCGATCGCAAAGGCATGATTATCTGTGAAGTCGTCATTGACCATGAAGTCGTCCTCAATCAGGTCGTCCTCAATCAGGTCGTCCTCCGGCAGGGCATCCTCGATCTCGTCATCATCGGTCAGGATATCTATGAGTTTGCGCTTGACACTTGTCACGGTAGAGTGGGATGTTTGAGTTCGAGCGAGAGCTGCAGCTCGACGGATATCAGCATCATAATATCCTCTGGGGACCTGCGTAGAAGGAGGAGGCTCGAGGTCAGATTCCATATCCATGTCGGATCCATAGTTAACGAGGGAAGCTACTACTGGGGGAGCCGCCTCAATGTTCATTTCATCGTCGGCAACAACATCAGACTGAATTGTGTTGGGCTGTCGAGGAGTCAGATTGGTGTTTCGATAGGCGTGAATGGTTTGTACTGAAGTATCAGGAACCTTAGAAGAAATCTTGACGCCCTGGTAATGCAGTTAACACAATAAAAAGAACTGGGTAATTGAACTCACCTGAGCAGCCCTTGGTTTAGACATACGGGCAAGGGCTTGAGAGCGCTCGACTGATTCGTCCAAATCATCGTCTGCAAATAGGGTCGTAAAACGATCTGCCATGTTGTCAGCCCCAGCATCGGCGATTGTGTCGATGGGTGTGAGTGGGGCACCACCGCTACTAATAGTACTCCCCATAGTTAGTTTAGAGGAGGGAGCAGTACTAGAGAAGTTGGAAGGCATCGTAGATAATTTTTTCCTCAAGCCGGAGGATGGCTTTGAACCAGCAGGAGGAATATCAGTCCTCCAACCCGAGATGCGCTTGGCAGCAATACCATAATCTTTAGTAGAGCTATCATCATGGACCATTAGATTGAAAAAGAAAAGAGCCGTTTCAGTGAGATGGTGCAACATAGTTGAGAAGCAAACATCTTACACATCATCAAGCTTCTTATCGTCATCACGTGCCATCATTGATTCATCGATAAGGCCCGCAGCTTGGATTGCATCTCTCACAGGCATCTTCACTGGCAACACTTTCCTCTTCTCCTTCTTCTTGCGTGACCCTGGCACTCGCACCTCTTCCTCAGCATCACTCTCAGGATGTTCAACGTTAGCACCGGTTGCTAATTTACCTCCCGCTCTACCACCCTTGCCATCAGCGCTAATGGCCTTATCCTCAGCCATAGTCGAGTTGGAGGTCTCCGTGGCTTTTACAGCCTTTTTAACAGGGCGTGGGCAGGGACGAGTAGGCTTCGGCGCATCAGCTTGTTTAGCAGCTTGATCTGCCTCCATTTGTTTCTGAAAAGCAGCAATCTGGTTATGTGCTTCAAGTTCAGCCATTTCACTTGCCCTCTTTTCCTCTTCTTTGCGCTGATCGTCAGCGGCCTTTTGAGCTTTGGTATGTCTCTTTACGTGGCCTTCGCCCCCGGTCAGGATATAACCTGGATGCTGAGTTGCGTTTTTAGCTCGGGTCGTCACACGTTTCGAAACTGTGCTGGCAGGCTGAGACATGGTATCAATGGAGGGTTTGGGAGGCTGAAGAAAGAGAAAAATTGACTAGTGGTGGCTGACGACAAGGTGAGTTTCGTCACAATTCTCCAAAAAATGTTGCCTAAGCTGACTCTGAATAAATACATATGACCCTACTTTGCTCTGACGTACCTACTAATATACTAGCGCAATATTTTGCCGTCGCCGTTAATATTGGGAGTCTCCAGCATTTTTCAGGCACTCCGATCCAACACTTTGCCTGTGAGACATCGATGTCACAGCTCACCAACACCTTTCCGACAAGGAGATAGTCTACCAACCCTTTCCGCACTGTGAGTACTAGTTTTCATTCATTGATGCAGTGAGACTGAGGTTAACCACCGCATTTCCAGTGTAGCACCAAAATCAATGTTCACCATTGGAAGCCTGTTCGGTACAGTTTGCTCGTGTCTGGGCCCAAATCTGGCTTTTATTATCAAACTGGTTTGTCACATTGGTGCCGATAATTACGGGCGGTTGCACCCCAAACCTAGAATGTGTTCGCCTTTGACATCTTCAATTGTCAACATCCCAGCACAGCACATATGCCTTCCCGTCGTGCTCACCACCTGCTTCAGCTTCCATGCCCAGTTCCAGGATGCTCGCGCTGGTTTCGAAACCAGTCAGGTCTCACGCAACACAGGTGCTCACTTCACCCAACGTTACCTGTTTCAGGACCATCCCCTCAAGATCATCCCCAGCCATCTTGTTCACCCTCCCTCCCTCGAGATTTGTCACCACCCCCTCGAGATTTGTCACTGCCCCCTCGATATTTCTCGCTGCCCCCTCCGTATTTTTCACCCCCACCCCGGCCATCATCTCCCATACTCCCTGATCCAACTCATGAGGATTCAAACACCGACGCAGAATTCACTGACGTGAGCGAGCGTTGCTATCGCACAGTTCCATTCAAAGTTAAATGGTAAGTTTCGTTCAAGTTTGAATACTCCATTTTTGACTCAAATATATGCTTAGGACGACCATGCATGGCTGATGGGACATTTCTGCCGCATGGTACCCCTCCAACTCCTGCACCACCTGAAGGCTCCCGATGATTGGAGCCCATACCGCAATAGAATCGAATTCGAGGCGGCAGAGTTCGCATTCAAAAGATGCCACATGTCGGCGAGGAATTTGGATTTCCTGTGTGACTTGATGGCCGCGACACTTGCGAAACACCACGACACCCCTCCATTCGCTGATCACAAAGATCTGCACAATGTCATAGATGCGACGCAGCTTGGTGATGTCCCTTGGCAGTGTTTCTCTGCACAATACACAGGAGAGCAACCCGAGGTTGTCCCACCTTGGATGGACGAAGAATTTGAGGTCTGGTATAGGGACCCTCGTGCAATGGCGCACAATATACTTGCTAACCCTACCTACAAGGACGAAATTGACTATGTGCCATTTCGTGAATATGATGCATCAGACGAGACGCGCCGATGGAAATACTTCATGTCCGGAGACTGGGCATGGCAACAGGCAGTACGTCCTCCATCTCTTTCTGGTATCGCTCATAATATAGCTAATATTCCATCAAGGACACCATATCGCAAGATCCAGAAACACACGGATCCGCTTTGATCCCAATCATTCTCGGTAGTGACAAGACTACTGTCTCTGTGGGCACTGGTAATAATGAGTATTACCCCCTCTATGCCTCGATCGGTAACGTACGCAACAATGTATGACGCGCGCACCGTGATGCTCTTGTCATCATCGGTTTCCTCACCATACCCAAAAGTACGTATGTTCGTATTTAAATTTCATTATGCCTCATCTGACCTGTCTTACAGCTGACAAGACACATTCGAAAGATGACTTATTTCGGATATTTCGCCGCCAGCTGTTCCACAGCTCGTTGTCCGCGATTCTCTCCAGTCTAAAACCTGTTATGACTGAGTATGAGGTCGTGCACTGTGGAGACGGACATTTTCGGCGCGTCATATATAGTCTAGGACCATACATCGCGGATTACGAAGAACAGCTAGTGCTATCCTGTATTGTCAAACATTGGTGCCCGAAGTGAGTATTGGCACTTGCAGTCAGTATCCATTCACACTAACAATTCGTGTAGATGCATTGCAGTTCGCACAAACCTTGATGGTGATGCCACCTACCGCACCCGCAAGTTTACTGATTTCTTAATCAATGAGCTACATGCGGATGTATTGTGGGATGAATTTGGTCTCATTGGTGATCTCGTCGTGAGCTGAACAAGCCGCTCTCCAATACCAGACTAATCTATTTTGTGTAGCCATTCACCAATGACTTCCCCCGAGCTGACATTCATGAGTTGCTGTCGTTTGACCTCCTCCACCAGCTAATTAAAGGGGCTTTCAAAGACCATCTCGTTGATTGGGTAGCAAAGTACCTCAAGGCCAGTGCATGGGACCAAACGGTCAGAGGAGATCATGAGCGACATAGATCGCAGGTATGTCAACTTACTCATTTACTCAACGATATTATCTAACAATAAGTCAGAGTTGCTGCTGTACCATCATTCTCTGGTCTACGATGTTTCCCTCAAGGCCACGATTTTAAACAGTGGACTGGCGATGATTCCAAAGCGCTGATGAAAGTGTTTCTTCCGGCTATCGAAGGTCACGTACCTCAAGACATGGTGCGCGCATTTCACACATTGTTAGAATTCTGTTATCTTGTCTGGCGCAATGTCATTACCGAAGATACACTGATTCAGATTCAAGACGCACTTGGTCATTTTCATCAATATCACACGATATTTGAAAACGTCGTTCCCACCTTCTCACTCCCCCATCAGCACTCGATGGTTCATTATGTCGACATGATCAGACTCTTCGGTGCCCCTAACGGACTGTGCTCGTCGATCACAGAATCAAAGCACATCAAGGCCGTAAAGGAGCCTTGGCGGTGGTCGAACAGGCACAATGCTCTTGGTCAGATGCTTGTGACCAATCAGCGCCTTGATAAGCTCGCAGTGTCCCGTGCAGGACTTTGATGCGCGAGGGATGCTCACTGGCACAATTTTATCAAGTACTTTAGCTGCTCTTGGTAAGTCTGTTTAAGGTTTCTTTCTCAAATTTCTCACATACTCAACAGTTATATACAACGGCAGATGAAAACGAACCAGACGCCCCTGCTATTGCACTGCAACCAGATGCCCCCGTCATTGAACCTGCAACAAGCAGATGATACTGATGATGCTAAAATAGTTGACGGTCCAACGGTGCTCGCTTATGTGGCACTCGCCAAAACTCCTCGTAAGTAATCTCATGCAATGTCCAATCTCAATGCTCACCACTGTATCTCACAGAACGAAAACGGGCACAGATAGTAGCAGCATTGGCACATGAAGTTGCTGTTCCAGATCTACGACACCTCATTCGGTACTTTCTATTCTCTCAGCTCAACCCGGATGATGCTCGCAACCCCAAAGATATCCCAGCTGCTAGCTTGCCTCGACATGAAGGCAAGCTTCAGGTCTTCAATTCTGCTGCTGCAACGTTTTATGCTCCCAGTGATCTGAGTGGCATTGGTGGCATGCGACGCGAACATATCCGTGCATGTCCACTCTGGCGAAATGAGTACCCGCACAATGATTGCGTGTTCATTAACACTGATTCAGATGCTGAAGGGATGCGAGGACTCGAAGTTGCAAGAGTCATATGCTTCTTTTCATTCAAGCACAACTGGGAAGTATATCCTTGCGCTCTCATACAGTGGTTTGAGAAGATTGGTGACTGCCCTGATGAAGATACTGGCATGTGGATGGTCGCTCCAAGTTTTCATGAGGACGGCTCGAGGAACCTTGCTGTCATTCACATTGAGACGGTCTTCCATGCAGCACACTTGATAGCTATCTACGGTTCAGAGTACATTCCTCACTCCCTCAAGTTTTATCATTCTCTTGACACTTTCGGCTCATTTTATGTCAACAAATACGCTGACCACCATGCATTCGAGATAGCATCCTGACTGGATGACATAGGTGGGTTCTCGATCCAATTCTCGGTCCATTGCTAATGGTCAGGTCCTGGGACATCGCATGAAGAACACCCAGTCGAAACTTGTGCAGATGCTGATGCAGTACCCCCGGTCCTGTTTCTGGAGAACTTCATATCCTTCCTATTCCCTTGTTCGCGCAACCCGTTACATCAACCGTCCAGGCCAGCTCCTCTGAGAAGGAAAATTCAGGCGATGTCAAGGAGCTTCCGGTCCTGTTTCTGGAGAACTTCATATCCCTTGTTCGTGCAACCCGTTACATCAACCGTCCAGGCCAGCTCCTCTGAGATGGAAAATTCAGGCGATGTCAATGTTTGTGCAACCCGTTACATCAACCCCATTGAATGAGTAAGTTCCCTTCTATCCTAGTTCATACAGCTGGATTGATGAGTTATAGACCTGCTAAAGTAATACTGTCGAGCTCATTCATGACGCGTTCCAAAGTCTCAGTGATTGGGATGGCTTTATGGTCGATGGATATGACGGCGTTGCAATGGACACTCACATCTACCAGATGTTTTCAGACGAGGTATGCACCCTTTCTTCTGACACAACAACGTATTAACGACATGAATAGCAAGTTGCCTACAACTATTCCCAACACATCAAGGAGGCATGCGGTCACGGGTCTAGCCTCTCGCCATCACGAAGCTGAGTCTCACCATCACCACCATGAAGCTGGATCTTTCCTCAGGCGTGTCCACCATGCCATCATGGCCCTTGGCTTATGGGAAGGTCGTGCTGTTGCGTTCGTTCTCGGTGAGTGCTTACATTGTACCGCTAAAATTTCTCTGATCTTCCTATTCCCTTGTTCGCACAACCCGTTACATCAATCGTCCAGACCAGCTCCTCTGAGAAGGAAAATTCAGGCGATGTCAAGGAGCTTCTTCCTGATGGGTCCGTCTTGCGGGTCTATCGCCATCATGAAGCTGAGTCTCACCATCACCACCACGAAGCTGGATCTTTCCTCAGGCGTGTCCACCGTGCCATCATGGCCCTTGGCTTATGGGAAGGTCGTGCTGTTGCATTCGTTCTCAGTGAGTGCTTACCTTGTACCGTTAAAACTTCTCTGATCTTCCTTCTAATTGACCTTCCTTCCCAAAGCGCGTCAAGCTGAAGCGCTTAGAGCACGAGCGCCAAAGGTTATTGCAACGGAAAATGTTTGAGGATCGAATGCGCGCACTCGAACAATAGCAGGCACAGGAGTTGCTTAGCATTCATTATGACCCCACTGCCTCAGCTCATCTCGCAGTCTCGGCGCCCAGAGACCCTTTCTAAGGCTGTCAGTTCTCGAGGACGAAGTCCAGGTGGCTTACGCATCAGCAACGCACAGTGTCGTTCAAGGAGGTCGTGTCCTCTATGGACTGTAAGTTGTTCACCCTCGACGCAGCCGAATGTGCTCTTGCGTTTCTCTAAACTACTAACATCGACCAAAACGCTAGTTTACAGGTCCATACCACAGCTCCCAGACGCCGAATCACCAAGACAATAATATCAACTTCAAGATCGGTAAGTTCGCAGCTCGTCTGCTGTAATATTTCCACTCACCTTAACCTGCAGTCACGCTGCACTCGCATTCAGTTTCGACCCTTGTGCCCCAAGACCCTCTTCAGTCTCTCCCACAACCCCAGTGGGACCTCTGAGTCCACCTGCCATCCCACATCCTCATTCGCCTCTGCGAGTGCACGAGCGGCAGCCTCTGTCCACCGGCATTTTCGCTCCTGCCCGCAACGCACGTTGGAGTCCATCGATCTTGGTTGATCTGTCGTTCCAGCGTCATCAACGAACACACAACGAGCCGAAGCCTGAGCACGTACCAGATTGCACTTGAGATCTTTGTTCAGACAAGTATAGAGTTCGAATCATGAGTAGTAGTAGTAGATCGATATGATGTATTGCAACTTGCAGCGCTTGTTTCGGCGTTGGTAATTGATCTTGCCTTGCACTGCTTTTCGGCACTTAAATTCCACGTGCTTCCTTACTTGACTTGTCCAACTCAAAGCAAAGTGAATAATTATAGATAAGTTAAAAATAAGTTTGAATTTTCAAAATAAGCTGCGCTAAGGAATGTGTGAATTTACTGATGCACCTCCGTTATGATATCTGTCAATGACCGATGACGCACCCCTTTAATCTCAAGCTCAGGAGCATCCTCTTCTGATGGCCATTTCATTTTTTCTTTAGGGAGGCAGATGTAGACAGATGACTCCTTCCACCCATTCCTCGTGCTAAAAGGGTTGGAGTGGTCCTCAAGGTACTGTGCGACCAGTCTCTTCTTGCGAGTAGGATTGAAAATGCTAATATCCCTTCTATCATAAGCGTCGTCATTAAGGAAAGTGGTGAGTCACTGTAAAGCAGCATCGGAAATGAGGTTTGCGCTGGAATATTGCCAGCACATAAGTAGACCAGCTGTTGGACTGCTGAATGCAGAGTACAGATTTTCGGGAATGACGGAAAATGGGAGGGGGGGGGCCAGTGTGAATCCCAGATGAAGTGTTATTGGGATTTTTGCCTGTCTGCAACATCGGAGAGTCGCATAGAGTATTAAGGGTGATACTGGTCTGCAGAAATAGAGTAGGACAAGTAGGATACACTCGGTACAATCCCCATGTATCTGGTTCTGTCTCAAAAGAAATTAGCACATTGCTGGTGTGATCTCCCTCTTCAGACATGACATCTTCAGGCTGAGGCACATCAGGTACCTCATCGCCAGGAATGAAGTCGTCGTATTGTTTGGGCATGCGAATGATGCGCCTGGAACGATTGGAGTGAATAGCTGCGCTAGGCTCAGGTAGTGGTGGGGAAGGGGATCGTTGCAAAGGTCCAGGAATGTCGTTATCCTGTAATATGTATATGTCAAATATTAGTTTTGTAGGATTAAAAAGACAAGACATACCTGATTATGCCAGTTTTTGGCATGCACGTCACCTATTTCTTGGGGGGCATCCTCCTCTCCACTGAAAGACTCCCGACGGTTGGTTTTTCTCTTATTGATCTTGTGATTTCTTTCAGAGCACCGGTATGATTTGCTGATCTGTGTGCTGAATTCATGGTGAGTCTTGCATAGCGTCTCATGTGCGCTCAAGCGCCTCTGGCTGTTGAAAGCCTTTCCACACCCAAGGCAGGTGAGGTCGTCCATGGAGTGGCGGGAGCGGGGGTTTCAGATGGGAGGACAGTGCTATTTATCTAGAATACAAGCACTATGCTACCAAATATATGTGAGGATATGTCAATACCTAAATGCCTGGTATGAATCATATGGACGCACCTTATAATGGAAGTCCTCTAGTGATACTCGAAGGCCGCATCAAGTCTGCCGCATGGTATCATCCTGCAAATCCAAACCATGTGAGCATTTGAGCCACCACGATAAGAGAGAAAACAAGGTAAGCCATGTGCACTGGGACAATGCGGAGGAGGAAGTTGCAGGGAAAGAACTGAGGGGAGCGTTGATACTGAATGTAAACTGCATTCACTTAATGGTACCGGGCTGGGCGTTCTGGGAAGAGGGAGCGTCAATACTGAATGTAAACTGCATTCACTTAATGGTACTGGGCTGGGCATTCTGGGAAGCCTCTTGGGAACGTTCGCGTTTGACGGCTCGTTGATGGAAGTGCACTCGTGGGTGGACAAGAAATACAACTTGAATTCTGCTATTAGTAGTACATGGGACAATGGGATAACTCGTGCAGAGCGTGTCGGTATCTGATGCAAAGTGAAATGAAGGTGTAACAAAATGAAAGCGGGACAAAGTGCTGCAAAGGATTGGCGAAAGCAATGAGATGAGAACATACTATGTAGTTTTGTCAATGGCTACTACATCAGCAGGTGTAATCTTAAGGCTCTCAAAAGCTGAGATAGGTAAAGAAGAAACGTTTCGGTAGCCACGAGGCCAGCGTGGGGGCCAAGCGGAATCTGCATCTCCAAAGAAATGACCGTGACTGAGCTTGCATTTTTTGGAAAGGTCCTTCCTGATTGCGTCGAGCCTCACTGGAGTTGTGATGAAGAGATTGGGGTTATCACTGAATCAAGATGGTAAAAATGAATTAAACACTGCTAAAAACATACTTGGTCTTGGAGGTTGTCTCTTCAGAGACAAATGTCGCATCCAGGTTGTCCTTCATGCTAGACAAAGAGCCAAAAAGATAGAATGTGAGTGTGTACACTAATAAGCAAAAAAAAACATGTCATACATCTTGCAAGCCTTCGATTCTGATGTCTCTGTGTCGCTGTCTTCATCTTTGACATATTTGAATCTAGACGCGTCTTTTAAACACAATATAAGTGTCTGTATGATTAATGTAAGTAAAACAACGCGACTCAGAATTTGAAGTGAATACTTACCACGGGTCCTGGGTGGGTCGGTGTGAACTTGATTGTATATGTCGGCCAGTCTACCAGCAGGTTTTCGACATCCACAAAGATGTGGTTGCCGGCAACACCGACTTTACCAGCAACATCGACTTTGTCACTGCAGTTGACAGGTCCGAAAGAGCGCAGTAGTGTTAGACATTAGAATATAAGTATTAAGTATAAAATTAAGAGTTCAAAGCAATACATGCGTCAAAGCGCGTCAAACACTTACGAAAATTCCAGCGGAGTCAAATCTAATAGGAGCCAAACAAGGACAAGCGTCAATAATATTCACGTGTCTTAAGTTATCACTGATTCTTATCTTTCCATCCTACACTATGGCACATCGCAAACGCGCTACCTCTGTTTCATCATCTTCATCATCCAACAGTTCTATCTCATCCCAGTCAGCAGTAGCTGTACCTCTGAAGAAGATCTCAAAGAAACTCACCAGGCCAAAAAAAAAGCGCTGTTCATCAGACGATGACGAGAAAATGTAAGTAGATTCATCATCAGTTCGTTTGATGTCGCGATCACTAATAATGCTTTAATACAGGATTATGGAGCCTGAGACTGACCCTCACGAAGAACTTGTCGCTGCAGCGCGTTGCATAGCACGCTGCATTGATGTGTTTTGCAAGACAAAACAACTTATCATGGTAGGTCTTTCTCTGCAGCAGCGTGATGCTGCAGAGAATGGTGATGTCTCAGAGGACGAAGATATTCAGGCTAGTCGCGACAAGTGACTCTCGAAAATGTGAGTCACTTATGAATCTTACCATTAACTGAATCTTTTCCTGGTCCGCAGGTCACCTAAGATCCAAGATCGATACAAGAGGAACTACGCTCGTCTACTCCAGCTCGTGCTGAGCTTGAAGCCTCTACTTGGTGACCCTCGGAAAAGTTTGGAACTCAATGCTATCATCAAGAAGGTGAGTTTATGCGCATATCATGTATTTAATTTATCCATTAGATGGATGCTACCATCTCCACTACTCATTCTGACGATACCTTGCGCCTGAAGAACCAAATCAGTCACTACACGGCCTTCAACCTTCGTTCCCCGATAATGCCACCTATATACGACGGCACTGGTTCGCGTACCCACCTGGGTAGTAACCACCCTGTTCTCGCTCGATTTCTCTGTCCAGTCAGGGAACTCAAAGAATTTTCAAAGGACACTGAGAAGTACATTTTTTTTATTCAAGTCCAACTCAAGTTAGTCTAACGCGATACAGGGCTCAGAAAAAACTTCAAAACAGCAAGATTAAGATGACTGCCTCCGCTCTTCCTGCTTTTCTGTGGGCTGGGGATCTACCAGGCAAGGACTACGACGACAATAACATGTTCGAAGGCATGTTTGAGGGTCATTTATTGGAAAGAGTATGTGTTGTTTCTTCATTGTTGCCTTATGCTGATGTTGCTTTAGATGATGCGCCACATCTTTACAAGTCCCTTGAGTGCGTATGGGGAGCAGACGCGAGCGACACGCACCTGTAATGCTGCCCTACATGACATGACCACAGTAGAAGCAGCGCATATTGCCTATGGCTGCTTGCAGGTTTGTTTCCCCAAGGTCTATTTGTAGTCATGAGTTGCTCAATTTTCAAAGGTTCGTTTTGGTATTGGCGCCAAGAACACTTGGTCAGAAGTCAATGGTGATTTCAACTATCGGGACTTCTACAACAACATTGTCGACCTCATCGAAGATTCACCCGATCCAGAATGGAAAGACAAGCTCCTCAGAGCTTGGAACATGTAAGTTTCTTTTATATTCTTCATGTCACGCTAACATGATTGATTCAAGGAAATTATTCAAGAATGAAGAAGGCCGTGAGGGTGACTCTATCACTAGTAAAGATAACAATATTTCTAGCACCTCTCATGAAGGAAGAGATGATGATCTAGAACGAGTCCGTGCCCAAATGGTGGCTCGTCGTGCAGCCAAAGCAGCTCCAGCACATCCTCCTTCTCCCCCACCTTCCCTTTCACCACCTCCCCCTCCTCGCGAGTCAATGCCAGCTTGTCCTTCCGGACCAATGCCTTCTCGTGAGACAACTCCAGTGCCACCTCCTACTCCCAGGCCAGTTGCTACTCCCAGGCCGGTGTAGAAGAGGAATCTTGACTATAGGCGAAAACACTTAAAACAAATGGGTGCTCTACAGCAAGACCAGGATATGAGACAACAACTCGACCCAAAGGACAACCACTGAGAGAAGTTCCTTGAAATAAAAATTGGAGGGAGACTGTATGAGCTAGGCGGGCGCGAGAAGGTAATGCGCGCAAAGGCGCGTGAGATGCGCGCATGAGCGGGAGGTTTGAGAATGCGCACGCGCGAAGCGAAGGCACATCTAGAACGTTAAGGGAAAGGCCCTATTTGAAGAGTGGATGCACAGATGGATGGTTGACAGGAGAATCAGATCTGATATCAAGTGAGGAGGTGATCTATACACTTTCCAGTACACAAAGATAAGGGGAAAGTAAGTACCAGAACCCCAAAGATTCCCTTCTCTATTTAAGAATGGAGATTACACTATGCGGCGCGCTTCCGAGCGCGCTCCCGAACCGAGTAACCATATCTACTCTAATTATAACTAAGTTTAAATAGACTTTCTATATGTAGCGCGGATTTCGGACCGAAGATTTGTTAGTTCAATGAAGGAGATAGGAATAACGCACCAGCAAATCAGTAAGGACAACCTACTCATAGATCACTCGTTTTCCCACTCTGTTGTCTGCTCTCGATTACCTGCATTTGCATACATAGGCTTGGAACCATTGTACCTCACTGCTTTGTACTACCATTAATTCAATGCATCACATTGTTATATCTGAACACAATTGCAATGTCTGGTGAATCTGAGTGAAATTCAAATGCATTATGTACATAGCAATGTTTGATATATTGGTACACTAGCCTAATGCCAGACTATAGTCATATGGCAGTCGCAATATCAGAATTGAGTTTCCTAACATTGTCTTATATTGGGACCTTCCACCAGATACATATGGCAGGTATTGTAGCTCCGACATGGCAATATATGGCCATCTCTGAATTCGGTAATTTTGGTGATGCTGGCAGAAGCCGTTGTGACAGAGTTTCAATAATATCTCAGACTGACCATGACTAGTCTGACTATGAATCAGCGAAGGCAGATCATCCTAGCTGTAACTGCGGTGATCATCTGTACCGTTCAGTACCAACTCTTAACTATAACATTGACCGATGTAGAGACTCATGCCTCTCATGGTGTGATATGGCGCGTTGTAGAGACTTGTGCGTCTCATGGTCTGATATGGCGCTTTACACTAGGAAGTACATAGCACGAACTTGTAGTGTCACTCTGTGCGCTACCCGCAGCTATCTCTATATAAGGCGCAGCCTTCCCGCGCAACGCGCGCCATGCGCGCACCATTCCCGCGCTTCACGATGTATGCGCGCCCTATAGCGCCAGCCATTCAGATGCATCCATCCACTGTCCACCAAGCTCCCTAGTACGTATATTTCCATTTCCTTTATTAGCATAGTTCCACCTTTATTTTTATCATAGTTTCTCACTCATATATATTTTACATACCTACTCGGTAGCGCTTCGGCTCCGCATGACCGCGCTTAGGCGCGCTATATAAGCGCCAGCAGTACATACTACACAAAACCTTACTTTACCTCCCATTTACTTATTACTACCTACTTACTACTTAGCAGAATATAGTAGAAGTCTATTTGTCTATACTTCGCATCTCCCTTCTCTTTTCTTGCATTATATTATCACTTGAGTCTAGTCTTTATCATTTTCCGCATACACGCGCGCGCTTTCCCGCGCTTCGCGCTAATACGCGCGCGTGTTCCCGCGCCTTGCGCGCACCTGCGCTTTCTCACGCTTCGCTGAAGCGCGTACCTCTAGATCTTGGCTGCACTCACTTCCCCTTTAGGGTTGAACGCACTTGTCTCCTCAAGTAACGCAGGCTAGGCAACGCGCGACCTTTCAACATTTATAGATACTGTCAGGAGCTATCTTTGTTCCTGGCAGTATTGTTGTTTCTACAGCGTTACACTAGGAGTACATAGCACAAACTGGCAGCATCACTCTGTGTGCTATCCACAGATATTCCACTATGAGGCGCAGCTTTCCCGCGCAACACGCGCCATGCGCGCGCCATTCCCGTGCTTCACGATGTATGCGCGCACGCGCGTTCCCGTGCTTGAGCGCCCTATAGCGCCAGCCATCCAGAAGCATCCATCCACTGTCCACCAAGCCCTCTAGTGCATATATTTCCATTTCTTTTATTAGCATATCATTCCACCTCTATTTTTATAATGGACCCTTACTTATATATATCTTTACATACCTACTCGGTAGTGCTTTGGCTCCGCATGACCGCGCTTAGGCGCGCTATATAAGCGCCAGCAGTACATACTACGAGAGGGAGTTTTCCACTTACTTTTCAACTAACTTTCCATTTTTACAACTTACTAGTTACCACCCACCATTTTACTTAGCAGAACATAGTAGAAGTCTATTTGTCTACACTTCGCATCTCTCTTCTCTTATATTGCATCATATTAGCACTTGAGTCTAACTTCTCTATTATTTCTGCATATGCGCGCGCGCTTTCCCGCGCTTCGCGCTAATATGCGCGCGTGTTCCCGCGCCTTGCGCGCACCTGCGCTTTCTTGCGCTTTGCTTCAGCGCACACTTCTAGATCCTTGCTGCACTCGCTTCCCCTAGGGTCGAACGCACTTGTCGTCTCAAGAATAGCAGACTAGGCAACACGCGACCTCACAACATTTATAGATACAGCTAGGAGCCTCTTTTGTTCCTCGTTGTATTGTTGTTTCTACACCGAGGAGGAGCAAAGCAGCGCTGCCTTCATTGGCCTGCAAAGTTCCATTAACTGCCTGGCAGACACGCTTCAGGCATCAGTTGAAGAAACTCGGGTGGCGGGTGAAAGGTCACAGGCCTTGGCCTTCATGTAGGATGAGGAGGGGATTGTACCAGCTGACAAGATCACCCTCATCAATATTTTCTTAAGGAGCCCAGCAGTATGCAGCACCTACTTGTCTGCCAGAGTTGAAAATTGTCTCCCCTACTTGTGATCTGTTCTTGTCCAGGCTGCCGGAGGGGATCTCAGTGCATTTTAAATCATCGTCCATTGTATTCTCACATCTCATCGTCTCATTCGTTGCTCTTTTGTCTCAAATCTTGTCATCTCGTTCATTGGTCTTGTCTTGTTCTTGTTCATTTCTCTGAATCTCGCTTCACATTCCATAGCCATCACTCTTCATTGCATGTCATTGCACTCTCCAGCACAAGTTCGCCAGCATAATCGCTGCCTAGCTGTGTCAAATGACCATACTGCATAGCCAGTACATTGCAGTACCGATCCGAGTTTGTCATCATTTACTTACTGCATTTCAATTCTGTCTCTATCGTCATTGCTGTTAGTGTCTCATATGTCAGACATTCAATATGGTAGTGTGACATGCACTTTCAAGTTAGAGTGTGATTGACTTGGTACCCCGGGAGACTTTATGAGTTTTGGAGGTATTAGTAGTCACCACTAGTTGGTTGGTGCAGTCACTGCAGTGACTCTGTACACGATCGCTGAAAATGCCAAGAGGCTTTACAATATTAGCACCACCAATATTAATTCCAAGGTTGTGCTGTGCTGTATTAGTGGCTACAGGTGCTGAGCGCTTGAGCTATAACGTTCCTACAACGTGTTGGCAGTACCACAGCACCACCAGACAAGCACCTGCTGAGCATTTGTCTTTCAAATCCTATCAGTCATGATCTAGCATTGATCTAATGAGCTTTCTATAGATTGAAACATCCATTCAACCATTCAACTTCAAATTACGCTTTTACACTGATCATCACTCGACAGCTTCGTCATTCCCCAATCTAAGCCCAAGTTTCGATTCAAATCTTCATATGTCGCCTCTCAAGTTAACCATCGTTTGAATGGGTTCTAACAGCACCCTCGAACCCAGTCAGTACTTGCAGTTGGTTCATTGTATCTCGCACAACCTTCGTCAATGAGTGACGATCAATGTCAGTGCCCCCATCTCCTATCTCTTGCATGCTCTCCAATTTCTTTGACAGTTCTTGAAGGAATTTGGAAGGAACTCTGCCAGTTTTCTGTCAATGGTGCTCTATACAACTCCCCTGAATGTCAGCCCCACCCGAAATGTTTGAAAGGGACTCGGGTTGATCTCCTCAAATACATCCACAAATTATTGGTCGACCCAGGGAAGAATCAGCTCATCTGGCTGCATGGCACAGCTGGCATCGGAAAGTCTGCTGTTGCATTTACAGTCGCTGAAACGATGAGAGGTCTAAAAGTGACCGAAACGACGAAAAACGGCTAGTGGGAACATTCTTTTTCTCGTGCAAGCACACCAAACGCTCCACAACTGGATATTTCTTTGCGACGCTTGCCCACCAGCTTGCCACCAATTTTCCAAGCATCCGGAAGGATGTGAGCAGAGCGATCTGTGACAATCATGCTCTGCTACATCCGAACATACCTCTCTGCGACCAGATGGAGAAGCTCTTTCTTCAACCATTCTGTAGGCTTCACCTCGGATTGCGCGGGTGTCAGCCTTTGACATCTGCTGTCAATGCACTTGACAAATGCACATCTGAACCCGAGCTTACTGTTGAAGTCTGAAGAACCGAAGGCACCGGGAGACGAGTGACATTGGACCAGGTATGAGCGCAGCATTTGTCGACGGCCGAGTTTATTTTATGTTTCACATTCATATCAAAGCCCTATTCCTATTATTTCTGTCCTATGCTAAAAGGACGAGTCTTCGTGTCCAAACATCTCAGTTTTCTTCCAAGACACTGAGATGTAAGCCTTACATTTACTTCACTTACAACGCGAGCTAAAACATACCCATAGAATATATTCATTGTTAGGTACATACACTGTCTATGAGTTTTCTTCCAAGACACTGAGATAATATATTCATTGTTAGCTCATTGCTCCCACTCGAATCCCTCCGATCACTAAACTTACCAATCTCATCCTTTCCCTTGCACAGGCTCTTCTTGAGCCTGACCTCCCTGTGACCCATATTCTACTCACAAGTCGCTCAGAATCCCATATCTCTGAAGCCTTTGAGAATGAAGAGATGCGCCCATTGGTGTGCGAGATACCTGTGAGAACTTCTGGGAAAGGAGGCATCATTTCATTGGACGGCGCAGACATTGACAAGGACATCAGTACTTTCTTCATTGTCACTGCCCTCGCAGACCCTCTTCCCATCTCACAAATCTCATCACTTCTTGGACCTGGTTTGGGCAGAGATGTGCAGAAAACACTGATGCAGCTACGGTCTGTTGTGGATATCCCTATAGACAGCATTCTTCCTGTGAATATTCACCACTTGTCCATTTGTGACTATGTCTCCGACCCCTCAAACTGCAGCCTCCTTCAAGTACATGAAATATCATCACCACACTCACTACTCGCTGATTCATCTCTTCGCTTGATGATGAAGGAGATTCCTAAAAGCATGGTGAAGGTACAACAATTCAGATGGTGAGTCTGAACAATGTTGGGTCTTGCAGAACCTAGCTGCTATTCGGCTCTAAAGGGTTTCTGGACCAGGCTCAATGCTCAGAGGAGAGGAAATATCATGAAAACTTGCTGGTCTCTCAGACTCATACTGGTAACTGGTGAATAGATAACTTTCTTATGTAAGCTACAAAAGTGCCAACATAAGGTAAGGTAAAAACAGTCTCTACCAGCCCAGCCAGAAATGAATCCCTACAATGGCTCTCTTGGATGCACTTTCAGAGCTGACAATACAGACCCATGCAATGAGTCCTGGGGACCCCCATAGATTAAAAAATGAATTAGCCTTCTTCGTTCAGGAACTCGAGCCAGTATCTATTCTTACTGGCATGCTATGGCTTCGGGGTGATCGCAGGTCAGATGTACAATTCTGGCTAGAGACTGAATGGGGATGCCTGGTTATACATACACCCCTAACAGGAAATCCTGGCAGAAGACCCAGGAGGGACAAGAGTGGCTGCTGACCAAGGGAAGATTGATCTGGGATGACAATGAAATGCCTGAATTGCAACCTGTGTCTGAGTCTTCCGAGTCTTCCAAGTCTTTGGAGTCTTTGAAAGTGGGTGACCAGTTACAGATGGAGCACAGTGTAGGAATACAACACAGAGTGGGGCTATACAAAGATGGCTCCAAACTGATATCTTTATGTTGTGGTCTTGCACTGCCTAGTCTGCTATACTTGATGAGACAAGTGCATTCGACCCAGGGGTCTGCAGTCGGGGAATAGTTTTGGGGGTCAGTGAGTGATGTGGGGTCAATAGTCTGAGCGCGGGAAACAATGTCCGAAGGTATAATTATGATGTCTGATGTTTTCTGGTTCATCAGGTTTGGGTTTGGGTTTGGGTTTGGGCTATCAGAAACTAATAGTGACACGATAGTGAGCATCGGAAAAGTGAGCGGTGTGTGCAATAATAACGATGAAGGATACAGACGGTGAAGGAACGATGATATTCGCAATGTCAACTAAGAACTATGAAATATCGGCTTTGACCCCTAAGTGTCGGAGAATGGCTCTCCTCTACTCAGATGATGATGCTATGGGGAGTCCAATATTTATGTAGATACATAGAAATCTGGAACCCTATAGGCGAAAGTAGTAGCGCAATATTTCGGATCCGATGTCCTATGTAATAAGACATGATGTACTGCAGACTATGGGAATACATGTAATAATGTGGTCCGAACGTTAGGGATGTGAAAACAAGTAACTACGCACCTAGTGAGGCTAGCACAATGAGACTGGACATAGGTAGGACGAGTCCACGCAATATCCGATAGTCCGATGCGAAACATGATGTGATGTCTGATGTCTGATGTCTGATGTCTGATGTCTGATGTCTGATGTCCGATGCGAAACCTGATGTGATGTCCGATAATCCAATGTCCGATGATTTTTGGGTTTGGTACATATTGAGTCAGATACAATAGGAATGATTTGGGTAATGATATGCATGTCTACATGCATCAGAAAATAGACCTCTACAAGGCCATAGAGATGTCAGTCTCTACAATGGGTTAGAGTGGCTGCAGACCCAGGAAGGGAAAAACTGGCTGCTGACACCAGGAGGGCTGGCCTGGGTCTGGGACCCTGACATGAGAGCCTGGATGAAGGTCAATGTAGGACGAAGCTAGCTGCGGACCAAGATAGGGAAAAGCTGGCTGCGGACCGAGGGAGGGCAAAGCTGGCTGCAGACTGAGGGAGGGAAAAGCTGGCTGCAGACCAGGAGAGGGCAAAGCTGGCTGTGGACCAAGGGAGGGAAAAGCTGGCTGGGGACTGAGGGAGGGCAAAGCTGGCTGCAAAGCTGGAGAGGACCAAGCTGGCTGGGGACCAAGGGAAGGCAAAGCTGGCTGCAAAGCTGGAGAGGACCAAGCTGGCTGGGGACCAAGGGAAGGCAAAGCTGGCTGCAAAGCTGGAGAGGACCAAGCTGGCTGGGGACCAAGGGAGGGCAAAGCTGGCTGGGGACCAAGGGAGGGAAAAGCTGGCTGCAAACCTGGAGAGGATCAAGCTGGCTGGGGACCGCAGGAGGGCAAAGCTGGCTGTGGACCTCAGGAGGATCAAATTGGTTGCAGGACTGGTTATAGACTCATGCAGGACAAGACTGGCTGAAATCCCTGGATGGGCAGGCCTGGCTGCAGACACCTTATGGCCAAGTGTGGAAATCCACTCCTGCAGCATCTGTCTGGTTGGCTCTAGATGAATTCTCAAATACGTTGGAAGCAATCAGCAAGTTTATTATTACCCCAGAATTGTGTTCACTACCAACTTTCCGATCAATCCAGCAGTTCAAAACCTTGCCTGATTTTTTAATGTTCCCAGTGTTCCTTGTGTTAAACCGCCAGCATCATTCCACTACAAATTGTCCACCAAACAGGAAGATCATCCATGCCATGAACACCTTGATGACTTTCGCACACAAGGCACAGCACAATAGTCAATTATCTTCCGACACTCTCAAGCTCGTGTGCTTCAGATCCACCGTATGACACACTCAACCACATATTCCAGACTTTCTGGAATTGTTGCCTTCTTTCCTGGCTTGAATGGCAGTGGTGTTTGAAGGGTCTGTGGTTTTGCCTTGTCATCTTATCTGAAGGGCAGAAATATGTTAAGGTGTGTGTATTTCAACATGAGAGTAGCAACAACTGATGTCGCCTTATATATATTGGGTTCCATGATAATTACTCCCTGTCATGCTTTGAAATCTTCAGTCTGGACACTGCACATCAGGAAAATAACATGTGACTACAGGTGGCTATATAGTCGCTGTAGTACCTGTAGTCCTGTTTGTCAAGTCCCTTCTACATGCGGCTATATAGCCACACGGGTCAATATATAGCACTATGAGAGTCACTGATAGCTTGTCATAGCAAGCTACAGGCAGCTACACAGTGCAATAGCTAGCACTGGTAGGACTTACTAGCTTCGCTTTTTTGAGCTACAGGTGCCAATCCATGCTACCAGCTGAAATCGATGAAACAGAATAGAATTACAGTATAACAGACAGTATCTGTACAGTACTACAAGGAGCAGCATCAAAGACTACCCAGTGGCACACTTCCTTGGTGCTCCTCTCAGGCTTCTCTAGCCTCAGCTTCAAACTCTTGAATCACATCATCAAATATCTCATCTGTGAAGCCAACGGGAGTTGCGTGTGCTGCCAGTGAATTCACCCCAGCATGGAACCTTGCCATCTGCATTAGTTTGCAGGATAATCAATGCAAGTGGCCACCAACATACCGAGCAACATCAAGGATATTGACACCAATTTTCTCAAGTAGTTTGTAATGCGAAGTGCGCTCGTCGAATCGCTGTAATGAGCTGAGATGGACCAGGTAGACCGGAGTATAAGCTGTTGACAAGAATTTGATGTCTTCCTTCACCCCGGCTATCCACTTGTCAAGGCAACATTTGATCTGTCAGACCGCAGGAGTCAGCTACTATGCTACAGCATCAACATCTGAAGCCATGCACCGCTGTGAGAATAAGTGTGAGAAGTTCAACTGGTAAAAGGTTGAAAAATTTATTGTAAATCATGCCCTCATCATTGCGGTTCGCAAACCACATGTCGTTCACCGCTGACTGTATCAACCCAGTCTTGTAAATCCCGCTTCTCTTCTCCCAGTCCTATCACTCTGCCAGTCAGATCAACTGACAACAGGCCATGTCAGAATCAGCTATGCACCTTGAAAACGAAACACGTCTCATCCTTCAGAGATTCAGCTAGGTTGCGATTGTGTGTCATAGCCGCTATAGATTGGCTTGTGCAGAAGCCAAAGAATGATGCTGTAAGTGTGTGCATCTTAGTTTTGAGCTCCCTGCGCACTTGTGAAGTGCGCCTCATCATCTAGATAATATATATCATCAATAGGATAAGCATGCGGACATTACCAAGTGACTCCTTACCAATTTGACCAACAAAGGAGTTAGTTGAATTGTAAGCCCTGCCAATTTGGATGCCTCTCGCCAGGCCTCCTTGGCTAGTAGTGTCTCGCTGATAAGTGTCTGAGGAAAAGGTTCCTGTGTCACGACTAGACAGCGATAGATAGGCGTAGTAATGGCCAGTAAATCCTGTGTGACCTTATCGAAATTGCTGGCCTTTAATTGTTGGTGTGATCTGTCTGAAGCTTTATGGAATTTTAGCGGCTTGGTTTCTTCATCACTGTCCTGCAGTTGGTGCTTGGTCCTGACAACCCATAGTGAAATATCATTGACCACTGCTTTGTGGCAAAGGTCTTCAGTGTGACGAGCACTGCAAACAGATTCAATATTGGTCAATTTGTGTTCATCCTCATTGTCATCAGCATGCTCGCCGTCCTCACTGGAGGACATGACAATTGCAGAAGCTGACAAAAGTGCCATGTTAGTATTGCAGTCATACTGTATAACCTAAGACACAGTACCTTTGGAAGACTTACTGATGGGTGTTGGAGCTGAGGCAGTGCTGAAGTGGTCCTTACTGAAAGACTTTGGAGCCAAGACAGCGGGAGGAGTTTTGTTCGTACTGTACATGAGCGCCTGTGGCTTAGTTACCTTTGTAGGTACATAGTGATGCAAGAACTACAATGACATAGTGAGCAAAGCAGCACTGCAAAAATGAGACATGTACCATATTTTCTTTTTCAATGTCCATATCACTGAGGAGCTCTGCAGGCTCGTCATTGAACTCCTCCAGATTTTTTTGGTATGCAGCATGCAGTACCTTTAATTTACATTTCTCCATTTCTCCATTGTTGCATTGAAGTCATGTTGGCGGTTTTTGCCTTGACGAGCTTCTAGTACTGTTGAGCAAAAGGAAGTCAGTTGTATTAGAACATTGACTTGCTGCAGTCAGCATTTGCGACCACTTGTGGTGCATCCCACAGTCAATTCCATCTCAGCACATAGCTCATCCTGAGCCTTGGAAATAGACTTTTTAGAAGCCTTCTTTGAGCTTGCTTTTGCAGGCATAATTAAGGGTAAGTAGCAATGGTGACAACATAGACAGACATACCCTTTATAAACACTGGTGTGGTGTGCAATCAACAAACAAATTTTAGAGTTTTGTTGATTTGAATGTGAATTTTTCATCTGTCCAAGTGGTGTCAACACAACAGCATAAGTAAGGGATGTGGAACAGCTTTTCATTCAACTCCTACCCAAAATGAGCACTCAGTAAGTTGCTTCGCCGGCAGATCCAACATTGGCCTCATGCTAAACAATGTTTCAGTCCAGCCTCCTTACCATCGAACACTGATCTCATACCTCCTCCAAGCCGACCTTTTCAGGTTGTTCGTGCTCCAGGCCAGGTTAAGGCTAAGGCTAGGGAGGGACCACCCCCTCTTGAGATTCTATTTCCATTACCACCATTTTGTCAAACACCAGGACCTATCCAAGCATCTCAGACTTACATTTGAACACTTATATTGGAATGCTTGGATGCAGAGATAAGGCACTGTGAAGAGACGTGTAAAGTTCAGCTCCTAGAACACATCCAGGACCCAGTAACTCACCAAGCATTTTTGCAGGAGATGATAACACAGTGTTGGAGTGCAGAGAAGAAGTGGTGCAAAGAGGTGAGAAAAGTCCAACTGTTGGAACTCCTACTTGCAGCGCATGGTATCACTACCCTAGTTTAGTCAGTTATGTCAATTGTCAGTCGGAAATGAAAGGTGCCGCACTGGAATGAATGGAGATGATGGTAGTAGTAACCAAGGCCAAGAAGAAAAACAAGCCCTATAGCGCCAGCCATCCAGAAGCATCCATCCACTGTCCACCAAGCTCCCTAGTGCATATATTTCCATTTCCTTTATTAGCATATTGTTCCACCTTTATTTTTATCATGGATTCTCACTCATATATATCTTTACATACCTACTTGGTAGCGCTTCGGCTCCGCATGACAGCACTTAGGCGCCTATATAAGCACCAGCAGTACATACTATTACTTAACTTACTTTCCAACTTACTTTCCATTTTACTTACCTTTTCACCCAACTTTACTTACATACTTAATACCTAGAAAGTCGCAGTAGAAATCTATTCATTAGCACATCACATCTCACATCTCTTATCTTGCTTTATATCATCACTTAAGCTTAGTCTCTCATTTCTGCATACACACATGCACTTTCCCACGCTTCGCGCAATACGCGCGCGCGTTCCTGCACCTTGCGCGCACCTGCGCTTTCTCGCGCTTTGCTTCAGCACGTACCTCTAGATCTTCACTCCACTTGCTTCCCCTTTAGGGTCAAACGCACTTGTCTCCTCAAGTAATGCAGACTAGGCAATGTGCGACCTTACAACTATTTACAGATACAGTCAGGAGCATCATTTGTTCCTCTCAGTATTGTTGTTTCTACAGCATGAACTCTACATTTGCAAAGGGAGAAATAGACAAGATGAGGAGGAGAGAAATTGTTGAAACAAGCCAAAAAGAAGACATGTGATGCATGAACTCTACATTTGCAAAGGGATAAAGATAGAAAACCAAATAGAAAGGATGGTGGTAGTAGTAACCAGGGCCAAGAAGGAAAAGCTAAGAAGAAAAAAAGGTAAAAGAGAAGACATGTGATGCGTGAACTCTACATTTGCAAAGGGAGAAAGATAGAAATTGTTAAAATGAGCCAAAGAGAAGACATGTGATGCGTGAACTCTACATTTGCAAAGGGAGAAAGATAGAAATTGTTGAAACGAGCCAAAGAGAAGACATGCAATGCATGAACTCTACAATCGCATGTCGTGGCATCGAAATGAAATGTTCCTGAAAAAATGGGGGCTTGTGAGTGTATGGGCGAGTTATGGTAACAACAGATGAACCATGCCTTCCTGCGTGTTCTGTGGAAAGGTAATAACCACACATGGAGGTCTCAAGAGACACATCACAAGCCATCCTGAATTTGACGTCAGTGGGTATCAATGATTGAGAATAATGAGGCTGGGAATTTAGACGCGCAAGAAGCACCTGTCGACTTCTCCCACAATGATGCAGGCCATGTTCATGCCCACCCATCTGCCAATATGGACAATAACCCTGCTCCTAACAAAAGTTGTTGTGTCACCGTCGAGGATGTCGAGGACGAGGATGGTAGTTCCTCCTGGCATTATTTGGAACCTCAACTGGATGCGGGCTGGGCTCTGCGTGGCGGGGAGACAAAATTTGAAAGATGTAGAAGATATCAAGAGGAAGAGGGCGAGGAAACATGGTCACCTTTTGAAGATGCGTAAGTGTTCGAATGTGCTGGTAGCAAGGGGAACTAAATATATATAACTCACCAGTGAAGAATGGGATTTGGCCCAGTGGCTCGTAAAAAACCTTGGTCAGAACGGGACTGATGAGTTCTTGAAGTTACCAATAGTACATTGAAAAAGTTGACTAAACTCACAATATTGACATGGTGACCAGACACAAAATCGCACTCAAGTCTCCTTTCATAACAACTGCTCATTCTTGCAGAGGGTCAACCAACTACCACATGGACCAGATTGGAGCTGCAGGAAGATTACCGTGCGCAGTAACCATGATGATGAAAACAGGGTACCATTGCAAGAGGACATCGAACTTTGGAGCTGTGATCCTTTGGAGTGTGTCAAAGAGCTTATCAGCAACCCTTTGTTCAAGGAAAATATTGCATACTCACCTGCCAGAGCATATGCAGATGCTGTGGGGCAACACAGAGTGATCAATGAGATGTGGACAGCAGACTGGTGGGGTGAGATACAAGTAAGAAATTCAAGAGGGAGCAATACAAAAATGGACTGACCTCGTATCCAGAAAGCCTTGCCCAAAGGTGCAACTATAGCACCAATTATTCTATCGTCAGACAAGACCTGCTTGCCGCAGTTCCGAGGGGACAAGTCTGTGTGGCCGGTGTACATGTCTATTGGCAACATATCCAAAGCAAAAAGGCATCAAGCATCAGCACGAGCAACTGTCCTCATCGGTTACTTACCTGCAGGGAAGTTGGACTGCTTCACCTTGGATGCACGCTCCCTGGCTGGATACAGGCTGTTTCATCATTGCATGAGTCTACTCCTCCATCCTCTCATAGCCGCGGAATGAGGCAGTGTTGAAATGGTCTGTGCAGACTCGCAGATTTGGCATGTCCACCCCATACTGGCTGCGTATGTCACTGATTTCCCTGAGCAGTGCTTGGTATCTTGTTCCAAGGAGAATTGCTGTCCAAAGTGTCTGGTAGCAGCAAATGAGTGAGGCGATGGACTCACCTCTGTGAAGTGTGACCCAGAGTCAATGAAAGATACTCTGGAAAGGCATAAGTTAGGTCAGCATCCTCCAGAATTTGAGGAAAATGGTCTACATGCCATTTATAAACCATTCTGGGCCGATTTGCCTCATTCCAACATCTTCCTGGCATTCACTCCTAATCTTTTGCATCAACTCCACAAAGGAGTATTCAAGGACCATCTTGTGAAGTGGTGTGTTGACATTGTCGGTGAGGAAGAGATGGACGCGCGATTCAAGGCGATGCCGGATTATCCGAGGCTCCGTCACTTCAAGAAAGGTATATTGGCTGTTAAACAGTGGACTGGAACTGAGCATAAAGAAATGCAACGAGTGTTTGTTGGGTTACTCACCAGAGCAGTGCCTAGGTCCGTGTTTGATGACTCTTTGAAGACCGTGTTTGTTGATGTTGTGGCCTGTCAGCTGTGTCTTGGTAGTTGTGTGTTCAATTATTGACTTTTCCTATTATGTGCAGCTGCAAACTCACACCATGGACACGCTCAAAGCCCTACAGACTGCCCTGGGAGTCTTTCACACCAACAAAGATGTCCTGAAGGAACTCGCCATTTGATAGCATTTCAACATACCGAAGTTACACCAATTAACTCACTATGTTGATTCAATCACGTTGTTTGATGCCGCTGATGGCTTTAATACTGAGCTTCCCAAACACTTGCATATCAACTTCGTGAAGGACGCTTACTGTGCAAGCAACAAGCGTGATTATGAGGAACAAATGGCTTTGTGGCTTCAGCAGCAGGAAGCTGTGTTTTTGCATGGTGCATACCTCGATTTGATATCACAACAACCTCTCTTGGCAGGTCGTGGAGAGCATCATATGTTTGACTCAGACTCAGACTCTGAGTCTGAAGAAACAGACTCTCCCAAGTCTAACACAGCACTGATATTGCCATTGGCTGCTGCCGAAGAAGTTCAAGTGACCTGGCACATCATTGCGAAGGTTCCAGCATATCCTCACCAAACTGTTGCAAGAATTAAGACAGCCTATGGCACCACTGATTTCCTCACTGCTCTCCAAACTTTCCTTCGCAAGAACCTCCTGCACAACACCATCATACCTAGCCTTTATGACCATTTTGACGTTTATCATCATGTGGTCATCATAGCACCGCCGGATCGACGAGTCAGTGATACACCTAAATGGTGGCACATTAGAGCAATGCCTGAAGTTGCTGCATCAGGGCAGAATCCTGGTCATCCGGCTTGTTTTGATATGGCACTGATATCAGACAGGCCTCAGTCTTCACGCTTGTGCACTCTTGATGGTAAGATGTTTCTGGGTGCTCGAGGATCATGATATCTAATGCGTGATCTCCTGCAGGTGTGTGAGTGGCTCAGGTTCGCACTATATTCTCTCTCCCTCATCAATTTGGCACTTACAACAGGACCCTGGCTTATATCGAGTGGTTTACACCATTCAGACCTCCAGATCACCCCTCTCAAATGTGACAGGTCTCCTGCTCGACATGCCAACTCTGCTGCAATGTGGCAGTAATCCATGTCGACTGAACCTGATGCAGCTGAGTGATAGCACTCGAATCTGTTATCCCTACCTCCTATATACCCCAGAAAGACTCATGCACTTATCTCTCCCAAAGATTCCATCCTCCTAATCGAAGGAGAATAGTATGCATATTGTTTGATACCATAAAGTTTTTGAGTTGTCAGAAGGAAGTTCACATTAGATAATACCAATTTGAAGGGGCCTATGGCTTCATTAATTGTGGTTTCGATCCAAATCATGCAGAGATTGATCTGGAAGTATGTTGAAACTCTGAAACCTTATGCACGACTTTACGTTCAGTAAGGAGAACGAGGCACACTGACTGATGTCGACCAGTTCTCACTATGTACTGCTATGACTGGAAGGTTTATACTGCCACCCAAATGGTGGAGGGGTTATATGATACAGAGATGTTCAATGTCGACCTCTTGTTCATCTATTTCATCGTCATCTATGAGCCGATCCTCTTCATCATATCGGCTGACCATTAATATTCAACCTTGAAAAGGTGCTCCACCTTCTCATTATCAGGTGCAAGTGCAATGGGAACTCGAATACTGTGCCTGCCAGTGACAGCACTCGATGTTTGTTCAAGTCACTGCTGCAAATTGTCGCATCATATGTTTTGCTTTATTCAAATGAAGTCTGTTAAAGATGAGATAAACGATGATGATAACAACATACAGTTCAAAATCGCATGGAAGGCAGAATTAAAATAGACTGCGAGTCGAGGGATGCATCAATATGTTCAATTGGCAATTCGTTGGACACTAGTTCTTCATAGTCTCCCTGACCCATCCAGGCGTCAAGTATCCTGAGGATAATGCTGCATCATGCGCCTGAGCTCCGATTCTGGAATCCTCCTCTCAAACTCAATTGCGCATGGCGGAACAAGTGACATAACCCCGTTCATGAATCCCCTGTCATCCAATGGCTTCGTAGGATTCAAAGTGAGCTGGAAGGCCCACATGGTTAGGAGTGAGTTGATGAACACCGATCTGGGTTGATCAAACTCAGTTCGGAAGATGATGTGCGCGGAAAAATAACTTCACCTGTTCGCGACATGTTGACCAGGGCATACGCTGAAAGCAATGTCATTGAAAAAATGAACAACTAAAAGGCGGTGCTTACCGCCGACCAAAGCCAAAGACGAAATTTTTTAAATCGTCTCTTAGACGATATTGGTCGTCAATCCAGCGCTGAGGTTTGAACGTGTCAGGCTCTGGATAGGCATCTGGATCTCGAGAGATGGACCTAAAACAGTAGCCGTTAGATCCCTCGTATTTTGAAGCATGATGCTTACCAGTGGTCGCCGAACAATGTGGTCCCAGCTGGAATACGATAGTTTTCCTGATGGGCCAGATCATCCATCCGTGCAATAAGCTATTCAAAGAGCACTTGCCCAAATCACGTCGTGGGTTGTTCGGTGAGCTAATGCTGCAGTGTGCATGTTGAAATTTAGGGATAAAACAAAAAGGAAGATGATACCTACCACCGGTAGGCAAAGGCGGTCTCCATCTTAAAGCCTCGGAGATGAATGCTTGCAGGCGAGGAAGAGAATTTTGGTCGGCGAAGGTTGGTGCTTTTGTGCAGATACGATTGAATCAAAGCACTACAATAGGTAATCAAGCTTACCTCGGTGCCTTCCGATGACCATGTCAAGCTCAGCTTGAACTTGAGCTTGCTCTTCGGGGAAACATGCGGCTGCCATCAGCACCGTGGATATTGCCGCAGAAGTCTTTCGCCTGATTTCAGCCACATATTTCCGGAGGCAACAAACAAAACCTCACGGTACCAGATCCAGCTGCAAAAAAGGTACCGCCAAGAAAGGCCATCTCAATTTCTGTTAAACCATGGAGATGGATATTCTCTAGTAAATATTTCGCGAACGAAGGGCCGATGTCCTTGTCACTTTGCTGTACAACAGCTCAGAGACAAAGTAAAGATTGTGGAGGAAATGCACACCATTTGCTCTTTCACGCGGTTCAGCTGACCAATGTTGAGTTTCTTGGTACTCTCAAATGACCGTTTCAAATCTCGTCCATACCAAGGAAGATATTTGAGCCACGGGATCCAGTCTACTAGGTAAGCGCCAGGACGTCGGGCTACACTTGATATCTTGATGCGTCGACTGAGTTCAACAATTTCCGGATCGGTGGCAGATGTGGGTGCACTCTTTCCATATGCAACTTTCATGATTGTCGTCGCAGCATAACTCAAAGCATCTGTAAGCGAGGTACAATCATCATCGCCAAAAGTGCTCACGTTACCACATGGTTATGATAGTTGTATGGATCGTCGAGAATGCTGAGAACTGTGTTCTTCGCGTGTGACATCTGCAGAGGTTGATAGGCCTCAGCTGCTTTAGGCTGGAGATGCGAATGAAGTGTTCTACATCATGTTGAGAAGTAAGGTAGACGAGGGAAAGTAGATCACTAACCTACGCATCCGACGGAACTTGTCCCCAAAGGGCACAAACGCGAGACTAAGTGCGCCGTTAAACATTTTTCCAGCAGCATTCATGCGAGGACGATCGGCTGTAAATTTGCCCTGGTTCTCCATGATATCAATGGCTGCCTGCAACAAAAATATAAAGCCTAGATGAGGGCCACTCAGCATGTAGGGACCGACCTTGTAACGGCCAATAATGACGATGTGCTCAAATCTTGACCGGATGGTGATCAGAGGACCGTACTTTTCAATCCATCCCGCTATCACGAGAGATGGGCTTATCAGCGATAGGACACAATCAGCAATCGAAAGTCAACAGGTCGAACTAAGAAGTTTACTGGAGATACGGTAGGAAGTGCCCCCAAAGTCTCCAGGTGGGAGGGGAAGGTGGGAGAGGAAGCTGGCTCTCCGTTGTATGATGGTAAGCCCGAACAAGTATTCCTACAACACCAAGACAAGCCACAGCACTGAGGACAAGCTGCGTGTTGTCAGAGATGCACAAGTCAGGTAACTGTATCATGGTTGATAGGGTGTCACCACCAGTAAAGAAGGATTGGATGAAGCTCTTTGTACTACCAAGCACAGTCACGATGGTCATCGCTAGTGCTAGTGGCTTTTCGGTACCCCATGCACATTCAAGTTGATATATGATATTCGGCCTACATACTACAACAAACATTGACCCCAGACAGCGTGCACTTGGTCGGAGGAGAAAACCGGGTTCCTGCGAATAACCGTAGCCAGGAGGCACTCTTGTGGGGCATGCCGTACTCATTCGCATGCAAGAACACGTGAACTTCTGTGTGGCTGACCGCAGCCGGCTCAACCTAAATGTTGCCGAGTCATATCTGAATTATCATCCAGTCCGTCGTATATCGCAAGCCGCGGTCTACTAGATAGCGGCCGTGAATGTTAACTCTCAGGTAATGGACAGCTCGCAGGAGTAAGTGATTGTCGCGTGGACGTCACAATATTGTCCCTCCTGTATCAATGAGGAATGACCAGTCACCATAGGGATGATATTATGTGGTCCTTGCTCTCGCAAGCACAGCCCATACAAGCCCAGATACATCGTTTTCCATGACGTGCGCATCCACTACGTCTCCGATTACGTGTTCCTCGACACCCTCCACCCGTGCCTCAGCCAAGCGGCGCGTATTAGGTATGAATAGCAGCGTTATACATACCTCACGCTCATGCACGCGGTAGGTGAGGCGCAGCTCGTTGTCGGACTCACTATGCGCAGAGAGAAGGGAAACGAGTGCATGATAGGTTAAGGTCGTGGTTGAGAACCTGCGTGAAATCAGAAAGAGTCAGAAATAAGTAGTCTCACATTGAAAGTTGCGCACCAATCATACAGTTCAGTCACTCTTCCATCTTCCACTCTTTCACCAGCGCCGATTTCCACAGCCTTTTCCACCTCTGCTCTAACACTCCTCAGCTTTTCAACGTCAGCCGTCCCAACTTTTATCCGCTCTCGTACGGTAGCAATCTTCTCGTGTGCATCTGCAAGTTCCGCGTCTAGTGCTTGCATCTCTTCTACCTGGCCATCAAGTTGCTGGTTCGCTGTGGTTATTGTTAATCGAGGATGGGGGTGGGCCTGTCGCAAGCGAGTAAGTGATAGACGTGCATCGAGTATCTTTTGTGAGAGCGTGGATGCTTGGAGAGTGAGAGCTTGCGCTTTCTTGTAATCTACGTTGATTGTTTAGCATGAAGCGCACGAAAACGCAACAGTCCACGGTACATGCCTTCTTCAACGAATCCAGAAAGTGCTCGAAGATCGTCCCTTCTTTCTGCTAGCTTTGCTTTGTGCTCACGTAGCGCAGCCTTCTTCTCCTCATTCCGTACTCGGAGTTCCTCGTTTAGCGCAGGTGTCACCAGCGGGGCATCGTCACTGACAATAGTTTTCACATATTTATCTTTGGCATTCTGTTCCAGGTAAAGAAACTTGAGTTTCCTGAGGAAAGACTATTCAGGATCGACGGTTGAAACGGCAGATAAGTCACCATCCATGATTTAGACAGGTAAAACACGCACGATTTGAACTTGTACATCGCTCTCAACAATCTTAGGATCTTTGAGTCCCAGAGTGCCATCTTCACCAACCCATTCTTCAATGCCATCCCAAGTATGCGTGGACAGCTCAGCATGAGCATTAACTATTCGCAGTCCCGATTTTGCATCGTCCAGTGTAGCCTGAAGATTTTTGGCAGTGATCAAATGTTCTGCTAATGACGTCCTTGCAGCTCCAGAGGTGGTGAGGTCAATAATGGGAGTAGGTTCAATCATGATTGTGGCGGAAGAGTATAACTTTTCGACAGTCGCGACTTAACGCGGTCACGTGCTCGTGAACTATTCTAGGGAGCTATGTCGGTTTTCGGATTTTCGTCACGGTATGTCGTTTGTCCAGAATGTCTGGGATCTGGCCACTCCGGGGCCAAAGTTCGGGGCGGACTCCGGGGCCAGAGTTCGGGGGCCCTTCGGCAAGTGCGGCTGACCCAGGCGGAGCTTGAAATGTTCTAAACTCCATTCGGTCATACTCACCCTCTCCTCCTAACCTCCTCCTGCCAGCATTCCTTCCGCCGTGGATGCCTACTCACACGCCCGTCGTCCCGCCGTGGATGCCTACTTGCATGCCTGTCGTCCTGCCCGCCACATGCAGATGGCACTCTGTTTTGATGCTCCAATCCAAATGGAGCATGTTGTGGTTGCTCGCGCTCATCGCCCATCTCACCTTAACACCTTGCCTTCCCATCTTTCTCGCCTTCCCATCTTTCTTGCCTGCCCGCCCACTCTCCCCTCTTGCCCATGTCTTCCTTACAGCAAGCAGACATCGTGTTCCTTGCCAGCTTAGCTGTGCGTCAATCTCCCATTGGTCTCACCTATGATTGCACAGTCTGTGGAGGCACTCTTCTGCTTACCATCTGTCGGAGTGATAGGAGCGGGAACTCAGGAAAGCCAATGGCTAGGGTACATGGTTAGTATATTGAGCCGTCGGTCATCATGTTAATGCTCCTTGTCAGCATGGATCCTGCGCCTTCTTCCACTGGTTCCCTCAGCTTCTCTCACATCCAGATATCATGGCTCTCATCCCTGGAGGTTCTCCTACCCTTGGCGCAGCCTCTGCAGCTCCCTTCCCCTCAACACAACCTCTGCCCTCGAGTTCTCAGCTGCAACCTAACAACAAGAAGTCACGCAAGCAAGGTGAGCCATGCATTGGTGTGTTCTGTCGTTGACCTCATGCACTGCGATGCCCCCATGGAAAGTGCCTTTCCCATTGCACTATGGATGATGGGGGATGTCCAGTGCATGTCACTGATAGCGCAGACAACCAGCGCCCTCAGGCTGATGTGCAGCAGGATTTGGATTGGGGCTTTGACCAGGATACTCTCGCTGACTTGGAGACCCACTGGCACGATTCGTCACTCGACGCCGGGGCTGAGATGAATGATGGGTTGAGGGTGCTTCAGCATGCACTCCAGTCTGCTGGTGCTGGTGGCCAGCCTGTATTCCCATCGTTCCATGATATCTTGACGGCTCCTGCGCAACCTCCTGTGCCATCACAGCAGCCTCAGGCTAGTCTGCCCCCCCTGTGACAACCCCCTCGTCTTCTGACGCTCTCCCAGAATGATGACACCTCTGCCATGCATGCGTTCCCGATCCACACTCCATCAAAGCCCCCCCACATCACTGATCAACTTGACCCTTTGTGGGCAGGTGACCTAAACACGCGTGCACGCGAGGCGATTGAGAGCACGAGGGTGGCAGGTCGTCGGAAAGAGATGGAACGGAAAGCCAAACAGCACTTTGTGCTGTACTGGTTTGATGCAGTAAGTTGGTTCTTAGGTTCACGTTTGTGGCACTTACTCAATGGTTACATAGGACAATGCGCCTGTGCTGATGCAATGGGTCATGCACTGCCCATACTTCCCTCAGTACCAGCTCTCAGACGATCCTGCGCTTGTTGCATCCCTTGGCGACAATATCCTCAAGATCGATGTTTTTGAGGAACACTTCATGTGGTGGATTCCTTCTGCGCTCACGTACCCCTTCACCCTTGACTTGTGGTGTCATATCTTCATTCAATGCCACAGCGTCACTGACTGCAGTGATTTCAACGATCTCTTCAAGTCCTCAAAGCTGGTGGCTCGCCCCACACACATGCGCTTCAACATGAAAGGTGAGTGTGATAGTTTGCACAAGACGAACAAGCAGCAACAGGCATCTGCTGCTGCTTCCTCGTCGGACGTCGAGATCATTGACGACACGCAGCTCACGCCAAAACCCACCTTGGGCAAACACCACCGTCTTGCTACCCCACCACTATCCCCCACTCAACTACTATCTGACTCAGACAATGATTTCGACACTTGTCTCACTCGCTCAATGTCGCCAACACCACCGCTCATCATGTCATCATCATCCTCACCCGTCGAGTCAACGCCACGTGTCATTCCTGTTCATATTCCGATCTACAACCCAGCCAAGCCACGACAGAGGTGGCTACATGGAATGTACACGGTTGATATGGCCATTGGCTTTCAGCAGATGGCCATCCCAAAGCTTCGTGGCTTCTATGGCCAGGAGCAGCTTTTTCGTCTGATCTTTGGCGACACTCCATTTGTCAAGACCACATACCATGATAATCACAAGGCATGGCTCGAGACAGACCTGACTGTCCTTGAGACACACAAACTCACTGGACGCACTGAAGATGGCCTCTGGGAAAACTACCTTGCAGCACAGCGCGCTGCCTTGGGTCTGGGCAGCAAGAAATGTAGTGGGCGGAAGTAATTTTCATCATGTCTTTGTTATGTCTCATCCATTCCTTGATGTGCTTTCTTGGTTTGTCTGATTGCCTTTGCTATCTACTACATACTACACTTCTCACGTAACTAGCTATCAATTGATTTGTCTTTATGAAAACATTATGACCGCCCCATCGAAGATGCAGCGCAGCATAAACGTCTTTGGGTCAGTATGTCAAGGGTGTTTCTAATCACATTCATAACAGCTTCTCTCAACGCGAGTGCAGGACTACTTCAAGCACGCTTGGGGTCGCCCACTAAACTATCCAAACACTGTAGGGTATTGAAGATGCAAAGAAAACATCTTCAATACCCTACAGTATAGGTGTAGCTAGCTACATTTTCTTGAAGAACCCCTGAAGGAGGATCAAGATCTTCGAGCGCCTTCAAAACCACACTGATCCAAAAGGGGTCATGAACAATTTTGGATCAGCGTGGTTTTGACACCTATACTGCAGGGTATTGAAAATGTTTTCTTCGGTTAACAAAGAAAACATTTTCAATACCCTACAATATAGGTGTAGCTAGCTCTTGAATGCCGATGATGTTCAGATAGTTTAGTGGGTGAAGGATTGGATCAGTGTGGTTTTGAAGGTGCACTGATCCAATCCTTCGCCCACTAAACTATCCAAACATCATTGGCATTCGAGTTGGATAGCAGGAGGAAAAGGGTTCTTAGCTAGCTACATTTTCTTTGTTAACACGAAGTAGCTATTATGAATGTGATTCATATGAAAACCTACCTTGACCATCGTGTTCTTGAACTCAAAGTTTCCAGCATTGGTACTAATGAAAATATCATATATTGGAAGGTAATTAAACAGGTGGATGGTGAGGAAGTTTGCCTTGTATGCGAAGGGTAGCAACAGTCACACATAATTCAGTATTTTATTTTCGACTTAGTCGGACAGCCAAAGGTTGAGAATCGACCCAGTTAGGTGGGCCATCCAACATGGGCCCATGTGTGCTTATGCACGGATGGGCCCACAGTGTGGAATAGCGCCCATGCTAGCGGGTGGGCCAAGTGTGGATGCCATAGCATGAATGGGACCCCAAAATCACTAGCAGAGCCCTTCCAAGATGACATGGATATAGAATATCCAGCTGGGCCTATCTGTTCTTCCTTCCGAGACATATATACAGGGCCCATCTGTCACTCTCAGTACCTGTATCCCAATACGATCGGCCCGCTTATCCTATTGATCTCACACTTGGCCGACCCGCCAGCATGGGTACTATTCCAAGCTGTGGGCCCATCCGTGATCAGCTATGCTTGGGCCCACATTGGATGGCCCGCCTCACTGGGTTGATTCTCAACCTTTGGCTGTCCGACTAAGTCGGGAAATGTTACTGAAGGGGCTCACAGTCATACAGTTTCGACGGAGGATCATTTCATCAAGGAAGAAATCATACTTGACTGGCGTCATCTCTCGGCAAATGTTATGAAAGCCACCAAACCAAATGTTTGTTTGCTCTGCAATCGATGAATTGAAATAATACTTACCATTGTCATCAAGGAGTTCAGGGTATGCCTTCATGTCACAGCGCTCACGGCAGAGCACATCACTAGCCTTATGCTTTGTTCTGTGATGGAAGGCATCCACACACATGCCCATCCCCTCAAAGAACACGATCTTGTGACTCTCCACTTCACGCAACACATTACAATTGGAGTCATAAATCATATGTTGTGGTTTATGAGCGCGCGGGAGGGTGAACATTTTCTCGATCATGATCTTGTTGAAACCCTGGTCAGCACATATTCTCTGACAGCAAGACTTGGACTTACTAGCACGTTTGAGACAGCCTCGTGGTGGTACATCGTGCCACAGCCACAGATTACTCCACATGGACGAACAACAAGCTGTTCGTTGTTTGTGCGCTGACGGCGGAAGGTAGCCTTGAGTTTGAGTGGAGTGTCCTTGGCGCTACACCCATCAGCATCCAAATCAGACGCAACAGGATGATCTGAAACTCCTGTTGAGGTTGTTGTGGCCGCCTGACGAAGACGCACAGCACCAGAGGCCATATCATGCTCGTACCATTCTTCAACATCTTGAAGAGGGACGTCGTCTGTTGAAGTCACGGGAGGTGGACAGTGATAGCATTGTTTAACTTGGAGAGCTTCTGATGTTGAGTCTTGCTCTTTCCGTGGCATGACGAGTCAATGTTGACAGCTTCCATGTGGAGATGGACTGGGTCATCACATGCCTTGCACTTTCGTCCGGTCTCAATATCAACCACGACCAGTTGACCACAGCTGTTGACAGCACAGACAGCCTCAAGGTGATGGTGCTCAGCACAGAATCGAAGCTGGTTGTTGTCGAGAGGGTTTTTGCACCATGGAATAGCGCAACAAGGGTGTCCAACAGTCACGCCATTGGTAACAATGACCTCAGTGCGGTGCAGGCCACCATCTGGTGACTTGAAGATGTGCATGCACCCGAGACAAGCATGAGGGAGCTCGTTCTGTCCTTGATGCACGATCCGAGTGTTGCATGCATACATGGCACCTGTGAAACAATTTTTCTGGTCACCATCGTGAGGAACAATGAGTGATTTGTTGCGTCGTTGGTGATCGTCAAGCAGGGCGAGAAGCGTGAAGCAATCCCAGACTTGCTCTGTCGTCAGAGCATTGCCGAACTGCCAGTGATCATCACTGTCGCCAAGGTCATGACAAGTCTGGGCAATTGTGTATAGGTTGGCGCAGTTCGTCGCCAATACACTAGCGAATATCATACCAAGTCAATGATGGCACCGCGATAAGTAAATGAAAAGACGTACGCGATCTGCATCAGATCCATCCAGTGCATGGCAAGTTGCAGCTCAATGAACTGATGATCGGCGACCTGTATGTACTGTGGCATGCCTCGGTAGTATGTTCAGACGGCCCCGTTGACGCTATAGTTGGCCTGGTAGTTGGTATTGCACTCTTCGTCATACTTAGCACCTAGCACATGCACTCGAGAACAAAAACTTACCTCGGCACTTCAGGTGTATCGTCCAGCCAGGCTTCGCACCCTCGCTGTGAGTGAACAAGACGATATGGTGTGGCTCCTCCTTCTTCAGCAATGATCTGCACTGCCATGCCGCACACTCGTGGTTGGCGCAAATCTTGATGGGAGGGTATAGTGTGTGTTTTGCTGTTCATATCACATCAGCACAATTCATGAGGGAAAAAAAATACGTACTAAGTCCTAGCTCATGGCCATAAATCCTGAATGCAGTCTCGTCATCTGCGCTTGCCTCAGCGCTACTCGGGAGCTCCCACATGATGTCCTTCACCAAGGACCATAGGACTTTGACTGTCTCTGGTGGCATGTCCAAAGAGGCTGCAAGGAAGCCAGTGACACTTGCTGGAAGAAAAGGAGGGGCACAGAAGATGGAGACGTGGTGTGGCTGAGGCTGCAGGATATCCTCCTTGAGGATCTTGGTGCGGCAAAGGAAGGAGGTGAAGCTGTTGAATGGAAGGTCAGCAAGCAATGGATGATGGAGTACTGAGTCAAAAAGTGAGCCGATGTTGGGTGGGCTTGCACCTGTTGGCAAGGATGCCGACATTGCAACAAGGCAGGTGGTGGGCGCAGCAACAAGGCAGGGGTGAGGAGGCAAGCTTACTAGGGGGGCGGTGCACTGACATAATTGCTTACGTGTAATGTCAGCCTCGTGAATTGAAACTCCGACTGAAAAGGTCACATGCCCCGAACTTTGGCCCCGGAGTCCGCCCCGAACTATTTGCCCCGGAGTGGCCATTTCCTGGATGCCCTCCGTTTGTCGACCACTTGCCTGTCTGCAAATTTCATTTTACTTTTCTAGACACTTCATGCGTATTTTGTGATGACGTCAACCATGTTAAAGCTGCGCACGGTGCCATTCATTGTCTTTTTGTGTCATGTCAATCTGGGATTCATATCGGCCTTTTCTCGTCTGATGTTGAGCTGCTTAATCTGGCGTGCTCTTTGCATGGCTTGGCACTTGGGCGTTCTCATTCAGTTGTCGAGCTACGCAGTTTGTTATTGCAACATTTTCTCCATGGCGAGTGCTTGGCTTCAGACACGTTCCAAGCACCGCGATTATACTGCATGTTGTGAGGTTGCAGTAGGGTTTAGTTCTTCATCTGATCTAGTTGACTGCATATTACTAGATATGTTGATGAGTGTGGACACTTCCGCAATATCAGGCGATAATCTCTGGACTGTTGCACAGAGTATTTAGTGATCTAGACTCTGTCATCAAGAAGACCGTCGCAGGAGGAGAGCTATTTCCATTCTCAATATCTTCCGCAGTCGCGGGGTGCATACGAAGCCGTGTCTAAATCATCGCAAGGATCGTTGTTTGAGTCAAAGGCGGAGCATATGTCCAGGAATTCCTTGGAAGCCATAGCGTCTTGGCATACCAGGTTATGATGATTTTTCTGATACGAGCCAACAGATGTCGAAATTGCAAATTCATCTTTTTGAGTTCGTTGCGCCAAACCATTGCTCGGAAGCCTTTGTTGCGCTTGTTGCGCTGTCACAATGTTGAATATGATGAAGGTGATAATCTCTCGCAGCTGAGAAAGCGTTTGAAATCGCACATATGCATTGGTGTCCTTATAAAGGGTAAGCGAACACAAGCCTTTTGCCCCCGCTGCGCCAGCAAGGATCAGACGGAAACGGAAAAATGTGGAAACCTAGTACACTAGGGCAAGTCGAGTAGCGGGCTTTGACACTTTAGATGGCGCTACGTACTTATCCAGTAACTATCGAATTGCCAGATCGCTCTACCGCGGGAGGAAAAGTATGAGATACTGTTCACCGAAATGCACAAGCAACCATTCGTGGTGATGGCTCCATCTGTACTGGTAACATGGTGCACGCTTCATATATACTCTGAGTGGGGGCGGTTAAAGACAGTAGCATGTGTGATATTGTTAGAGACTTACCAGTAAACCAAGTCCGTAAGCTGGCTTTCGTAGGCTCATCACACTTGTCTATCATAGAATAGAACAACTTGAAAGCTTTTCTGTGCTCGCCAGCCAGCAAGAGTGCATGGCACAGTTGCTTATTCGCGGTTTCCCACAAGGACTTGAGGTCCCACCCGAAGAGCTGCAAACAACGGAGTCGAGGATGAAAGTGATTTTCAGTTATATCATATCAACGCACCTCGATGAATACCTCGTATTTGGTATGAATTGGTAATCCAAAAAAGAAAGAGCTAGCGCTGACAGCAGTAGTGAAGTGATCAATAGCGCTAGCTAATTTGTGCGGGCAAAGCGGTGGAACGGGTCCAAAAATGGTATTATTCAATGCAATACTGCCCAGTTCGACATGTAGATACGTCTGATGTGCGAAAATCCAGAGAATTAGTGTCAGCAGCCGAACCTGGCACTGACCGAGGCACAATACTTACCTCAACGATACGAGAAGGAATGGGATCATTATAGAGAGTAGAAGCCTGAGATAGCTCCCCAATGCGTTGTATCGCTTCATCATGTCTCCTTGCATTGAATAGCGCAATGACCTGAAAGTCGTAAGAAAGCGCAGATTGTAAAAAGAATGTGACCTGCCTTGATCAAGAAAAGAAGATGATTCAAAGACGAATCTTTCTTCGTAAACGTAAACGCAATATCGAACGCTGTGGTTGCCTCTTGAAACTGCTTGTTCCTACAGAGGACAATACCCTTCGAGATATAACCTGTCAACGAGGGCTTAATGGCGATGGACTAAGTCACGATCATAGTTAGCCTACTTGAGGGCCATCACGGGTGAGTGTATCTGACCTGATCTGCATCCTGAAGCGCATTTTTCCAAGCACATAATCGCGACATGAGAAAAGAACGATTGGCATAGGGGATATGTTTGTTAGGATCAGCATCGATCTCTTTCGTGAGGAGCTTCACAGCCTCCTCCAGCTTCCCCTCTAGGCACGCACCACGAGCTGCCGTGTGTAGAGCGAGAATCTATATGATCATAATACGCGCTCCAATTGCATTATGCGAGTCTAGGGTACACACGTACATTTAGTTCGGCGTCTCGAGCCTTTCAAAATACATGAGATGAAATAACGGGGCAGATAAATCAACGTGAACCCACCTGCTGTAGCTCTTGTTCGCACCCCTGCAAAGCGTCCAAAGGTACTCTCCACTGGGAGATCTTGGCATCATGGCCTCCACTGAGGACATGCTTGCTATCGAGGGTGAAGGTGACGCACATTACTTCGTGGGAGTGCTTGAATATGGCAATAGTCTGCCGGTCCAAAAGCTTCCAAAGGCGGACGTCTTCGTCATCAGATGAGGAGGCGACAAGAGTGCCAGAGGTATTAGTGGCTATGGCATTGATGCTGGCACGGTGGCCCTTCCAGGGATCACCGACCTGCTGCCAGGTAAGTGTATCCCACTCCAATATATTGGGGTCAAGGTCTGAACCTGCCGAGAGAAGGCGTCTCCCATCCGGCGTCCATTGGAGTGGGCCGTTGTAAGCATTTTCGATTGCTGCATGAGCCTTGAAAGTTGTGATGCATTTCCTCGTGCTTGGATTCCATATCTGGATATCATTTTCTGTCGCGATGGCAAGATGTTCACCAGATGGTGAATAGCGAATCCAGTAGACGATTGACTGAGTATACGGAGCCACACAACAAGTGATGGGACTTCCTTGAAGTTGCCAATTTTCTGTCCCCCAGAGCTTCGTCATTTCATCATGTGAACAAGTTGCCAGTGTTTTGTCGTCTGGAGAAAAATCTAAACTGATCAAACACATCGAATCAGCGGCCAAGGTTCGGCTACGAGTTCCAGTGTCTCCGTGCCAGACGATTAGCTCTCCATTCGTGCCGCCACTCGCGATGAATTGGCCATCTCGTGATACCGCTAAGCCACTCACTTCGCTGGTATGCCCCTCCAAGCTCTTCAACCAAACGCCGTCTGTCAAGTCCCACAAACAAAGCGTACTATCCCACGAGCTCGTCACCATACGTCGTCCATCGGGGAAGACTGCAACGGCGACTACCGCTTCTTCATGTGCTTCGAACGTTCGAACGAGAGAGTTCTTTTTGGATCGTCTGGTACTAGTAATGAGACGTCCAGCCCGTGCCATTCTACTGGAGGTTAATGCTGTCAAGCACTATAGTCAAGGTGGACTTGCTTAAGAAGTGTGCAACGGATAAGACCAATAAGAAAGGACAGCTCTATCGATTCCGCGTCTTCCGTGCAGACTCCGCGATCCTGCTGGTTCCCATGCACTTGAAAGTCAGTCAAGCAAGGCCAGCGTCCAGTTACTTAGGTGTCTGTCACAAGTGGGTTGAGAGTAGGCCATTTTCACCGTAAGGTAGGCCCGAACGTTCCAGCGCGAGTCGTGCTTGGCGTCGTGTGCCACTAGGTGACACAACATTAAGCAAGCAGAGGAAACAGTGCCAACAATTCTCCTCCGACGTTGTCATCATCGGAGCATCGAGATGGGAAGGCGGTGAATCCCGAGAAGACAATGAACTGCATTTTTTTCTTTCAAAAAAGGTAGCGGCATGTGGTTCGCGATTGAGAACCCGGTGGTACCCCTAAACACGGATGGTTGTAACCAATGTGTTACGTGCTTGCTGTGAAATGAACTAAGAGTATTTAGCATCAATTCTACACTTGGGAGTGGCATAACAAAGTCTCGAGTTTACTTTGAGAGCGCACTAGCGATACCCCAGCAGCGCTCGTAGTTGCAGACAAAAAGTGTTCGGATTTCAACATCTAAGGAGGTATTCTGGGTATAACTCAAGAAAACAGGTTGGTAACAGTAGCACACGCCGCTTGATAGACTTCCTCGACCGCCGCCGTGCTATCGATCTACACATCTAGGACTGAGCATCAGAACAAGATAAATATAAGCCTTTGCTCACCTCTGCAACCTTGTTCAGCGTCCTGTAATGTTGTATCACGGGCATGGTTTGCTCGTTGTATGTGCCTAATTTCGTTGTAAGCTGAGGAAAAGCAAGAGCGGGTATCACATACGGAAACGCTTTCTAATAGTTTCGACGTTGTCGTCTTCACGTCCGCTGGTTTTCGCGCGCTCCAGCAGGCGTTGAAGCATCACATCTTCCGATGTGTTGAAGAAGATGACCAATGAAGCAAGACATACCTGGACCCTGAAATCAGTATCGTAGCATGGTGAAGTGAGCAACATCCTCCCGCACCGTTTCATCGAATCCAATAGCCTGATCAATCTTCCTAGGGAAGCCATCGATCAAGAATCGACCTCTACCATCCACCCACCCATCTCCCGTCTTTTTCTTCATCTCTTCGGTCATAGCATTCTCAAGAAGTTTCATGGTGACATGAGATGGGACGATAGTACCCTCTCGAATGTATGTTCGGATCATTTCACCATATTGAGACCCTTCTCGGTTTTGTTCTTCACGCAGAAGGTCTCCAGCTGGGTCCAATGTTCACATCAGCCTTGATAAAGAGGTGAAAAGGTCTAACCAGATAGATGGCAAAAGCCAAACAGCGTCAACGAGCTTGCTACATTGCGTGCCTTTCCCTATGACACTGATCAGACCACCGTATGCGCGACGATTGGTTTCTGAGTGGGAACTTGCCA